CCCCCGGCCCCCCCCCCCTCCTTCATGACTAAATACGGAACAGAGGGATGGCCGTTCTTTGACTAAGAATGGAACGGAATGGTGCAAAACAGAACAAGAACGGAACAATTAGAAAAAAAGGAACAAGAACGGAAACATCTAGCTGAAGGCTCTCGTTCTAGAACGGAACGGAACGATTTTAAAAGATTCGGAACGTGCCCAGCCCTTAAGGTTTCTTCAGTTTCAATACTGCATATTCAACATTCTTTAAACTTATTTCTATTAAAAAAGGCATCCGCAAATGGAAAGACATGAAAGAGAATAATCGAACTTGTATAACTTAAAAAGTTAGTTGTTTAGCGACTGGGAAATGAATTGTTCGCGTATTTAAACATTTTCCAGTGTACATATAATGAATAATTGATTATACCGTTAAAAACCTGGAATAGCTATAATAATAAGAGTTGTGCAAACAAACCATTTCAATGTGCAAACTTGTATTACAGGGTTATTAGACAATAATCTAGTTATATTTTATTTTTAATAGCATTTTTTTTTCCAGCGAATATAAATCTTTAGGATTTCAAAATTATTCTAGTTTCAACGCAACTTTAATAACCCTTTAGCCGTAAAGATATAATTATATTTGATATTTGGTCAGTGCCCAATAAAAAATGAAAAATATATTTGACTGTAATTTAAAAAATGATTAATATTAATGATGTTTAATGATTATGAACGCAATACTACGTGAATAAAAACTTAGCCTTAATCCTCTTTGTTCTTTAATTTTAAACATCACATTTTATTAAAAAAGAATAATACTAAATATAATGTTTCACGCCTCATACATATAAATACCGTCTGTCAGTTTGTGTCAAGTAAACTGCTGAACCGATCAGGCCCAAGAATGGTTACCATTTGAAAAATTTCAAATTTTCAAAATCCAGGCAAAAAAAGAATAAATCCGTGTTTTATCTTAGTGTTAGTAAATTTAAAGGGAGTGACCGGCAATATATGGTCGTGGAGCTGAGAATGTAGTATTGTGGAAAAATTCTTTAAGATTAATTTGATTCAAGAAAAAAAGTGTTAATGTTGTATATTTACTGAGTTTGAGAGCACAGTCGACTTTCAAAATATTCCATTTGGGTGGTTAAGTTTTGAGGCTAAGCTACATTTTGCCTAGTCACAATTTGCCTAGTCACTATTTGCCTAGTCACATTTTGCCTAGTCACATTTTGCCTAGTCACATTTTGACTAGTTCATTTTTGCCTAGGTAACATTTTTTCTGTGTAACTTTTTCCCTAGTTCAAGTTTGCCTATAAGTAACATTTTGCCAAGAGTAACATTTTGCCTAGGGAACGCAAGAGCATGTTTTTTGACAAATGCTTTTTTTTCAAACAAATTTTGTAAAAAATTAAACATTTCATTAAAGCTGAACCAGTTGAAGTTAAAACTTCTAGAGGGTGTCCCAATAAACATGGGAATTCAGTGACGAATTCGATAAAGTCTTTTTAAATAATTCTTAGATTTAGTATAGGGATACCTACTGAGAAGGCTGTGATCTGTAAGATTTTCGTCTGCTATGTTTACAATTTTTTTGACTGCATACAAGAAAATTACAGTATACAATTACAGAATAAACTTATCAGTATTCACTGTTCATCTTGCGGGGACATTAGACACACATCTTTACAGCCATTTACCTTTTGCAAAATAAACTCTAGCAGACATAATAATATTATGGCTTTTGAAATCAGGTATTACAATGCTAATTAATAACAAATACGATATCGAATTCGTCACTGAATTCCCCTGTTTATTGGGGCACCCTGTACAACAAATTTCACCCTCTTTCTGGAGTTCATTGATCTCTCCTTTCGCCCTGAATTTGTTGCCGTATCCAGGCCGACTGCATTGGAGAGATAAGCCCTCCTAGCCTAAGCAATCAGCATCCTGTTTGACAAATAGCTCTTGGATAGTAAATACATTCGGCTGTAGCCAGACAAACTGTTCCAGGTTCTGTTTAATGACTCCAGCATGTTGTTGGTTTCAATACCTCCTCAAGGACAGTGGTGTACGCTTTGAACAGCGCCATTTCTTTGTCTCTTCCCTCTTCCCATTGAAAAAATAGGAGAAATAATTATTATCCATGTAGTTGGGCTTACCCCGCATGGTGCGCTCTGCAGCCATGGGAGCCATTTTCAATGTGTCTCTCCTTACTGACTAGCCAAAAAAATCGCTCATATGTTACTCTAGGCAAAATGTTACCTGGCAAAATGTTACTCTAGGCAAAATGTTACCTGTCAAACTGTTACCTAAGCAAAATGTTACCTGGCAAACTGTTACCTAAGCAAAATGTTACCTGGCAAACTGTTACCTAAGCAAAATGTTACCTGTCAAACTGTTACCTAAGCAAAATGTTATTAGGCAAAATGTGACAAGGCAAATTGTGACTAGGCAAAATGTAGCTGAACCAGTTTTGAGAGTCGATTTTTAAAGAGACCGATCACTTATTTGGGTAATTTGAGGGTAAATTAAATAGCCTATTAGCTATTCATTGGTAAAAGTTTTACTTATCAAAAACACCTGTGGCCTGAGAAAAAGCTGATTTATCATTTAGAATTCGATCCTGCGCAAATGTATGATACCTTTTTCATAGTTATGGATTTAAAAAAAATTTCAAATCTTAAATTAAAATGTTGCACCCATTAGTTAATTGTATTTCAAAACTATTTCAAAATTGTCTATTTTCAAAATATAACTTATTTTAAACATTTGAAAGTTTGAGAAATCCCCGTGATTTATTAAAGAGTTTGAATCTAGGAAGTAGGAACCTGTTTGTCTGAGAGAGAAAGTTGTCTGTATAAACGTAATAATTTTTAAATCATGTTTGAAAACGAAAAATGATAATTTCTTGCTAATTCTAAAATCGAAAGGTTTTATATTTTATTATATAATGACTGACACATGATGTCTTTGAAGTATGATAATTTAGATTTTATTGGGTTGTTGCTAATAAAAATACCTTTCCGCTGGAATTCTAAATGATAAATCGGCTTTTTCTCCAGCCATAGATATCTTTGAAAAGTAAGACTAGTACCAATAAATAGCTACTAGGCTATTTAGTTTACCATGGAATTACCCAAATAAGTGAACGGTCCCTTTAAATTATTATATAACGACGACAAAAGAAAAGGTTAAAGAAAATAAAAATTAACTCTTATTATCAAAATACTTAATCTTATTCAGACATTAGTTTCTGTAATCTCTTATTGTTAACAAATATTTTCTGTAGATTTTCTGGAATTTTATTTAAAAATCAACATTTGAAGATTTCTAGAAATCTGCGAACAAATTCGCAAAGAATAAGAAATTTAATATCATGATGAAAAAAAATAATTGGTTCTAGCATTTATTTATTGATAAATTTTTGTTGAGAAATATGTAAATAGATTTCTGTTGAATATTTTATATAAAAAAATGCTCCACAATACGACATTTAAAGTTCAAATACCAAACATTGCCGGCCACTCCCTTAAAGAAGACATGGGTCCACTTAATACTGAGGTAACTAAACGAGTACATCAATGCGTAAGCGGTACTATTTCACTAGACTGGAAAATGGTAACCCTTGTTTTGGTTCAAATCATGCAACGATAGGCTCATGGGTGGAACTGGAAGGCCAACCACAACAAATTCTCTTCCGAGACACATTACCGACAATTTCTCGTCCAAGCCACCTCGTCCTTCAAATATTATTTTTTTAAAGCGTCCAATCCTTGATTTTTTTTTAATTTGGCCACATCATGGCTTTAATGAAATATCAAATTTTTGTAAATCGAAAAAAAATCTTCAAATGAATTAAAGTTTTGAAAATGTGGAACTTTTTACGCGGATTTTTAATATTCCTAGTAGTATAACTTAAATAAAACTTAAATTTTAATTTGTTAATTATATCAAAAACCGAAGAAGTTTACCGGGTGGTATCATGATATATATATAAATATATAAATATAAAAGGCAGCAGTATCACAAATATTTAGCAATTTTTTTTCTATCATAAAAGGTTCGCCATTACATACATACATCGAAGATTCTAACATGCTCTAATCATTGCAATGCTGTAGTCTAACCCTACACACTTTGATTTTAAAACATATTAATGGAAGCAAGAGGATTTTGAGGATGGCTCGGACGAAAAAATGAGGAGAATGTGACTCATGCGAGAAGTTGTTGTGGCTGGCTTTCCTTCCCAGGACCCATTTGTATTATGTGACCATTGACCAACTCAAAACTTTAAAATACCTTCTCTTATCTCTAGTTGAAATATGGAGGGTATAAATTAGGGTTTCCAACAATCAAAAACTTTCGTGAAAAAATGCTAAAAAATGCGAAAATTTTCGTTCGTATTTCGCAAACTTTTCACGATTTAGCATTTTTTCGCGAAAATGGATAAAGCAAAAAAATGCTTAAACAATGCGAAATTTCGCTAAATTTTCTTTTAGCTAATCGATTTTCCTTTTTCGCTGGAAACCTTAGTATACATGTATTGATTTTAATATTAATAAAACAAAAAGGTCAATAATCAGTAAAACCGTTGGTTGTATGTCTTTGTTAACCTTGATATTAAAAAGGACAGTTCTAATGTTTTTTGTTGTTTCATTTTTTGACAATCAAAAATAGTTCTTTTTCGTCCCATGAAATTTTCCATGGCAAATAATCACCACTTTTAACTAAGTCACATTTTATAATTTTGATTTTACTTTGAATTTATACAAAATAGGCTTTCAGGGCCCATCTTCTATTTCAACTTTGAATAGTGACTCTATCCGCGCGTGAGCCCTTTCTCTTCTTTAAATATAAAAATGAAAGAAAGTGGGTTTCATTACATTTTACCATGGTAATTTAAGTGTAGTCATGTAAGCATAGAAGTAGGATTATACTTTAGTTGACCAACCGGACTCTTTTCTGAAGGTAACTGTAGAATAAATATTTACTGGATAAATATAAAGTACACAACTCTCAACTGCGTACTGGACATGTTTTGTTTTAACATTATAAGGAACAGTTTAAAACAAATTAAAGTTTTCTTGAAAAAGAAAATTTATATTCTTGAACATTGGAGCTGATTGATGCCAAAGTTTGTTACATTTAGAACATCATTAAATGGCAATTTAACAAACCCAGTCAAATTGGGTTTATATCAAATAGGATCAAATACAGAATAAAATATGATCCCAATTCCCAAAAATATATTAAAACTTTTAAGAGTAAGGTTTCAAATTTTTACTGAATCAATTTGGATATGTAAAAGTCTTACGGAACCTTTCCTATTGTTGCAAAGAACAAAAACAAATAAAACAGTTTTGAAATTAATGGCAGAACCTTTCGTAACCGAATTAAGATAAATCTAGATCCTGAACGTTAAAATGAGCTGGGTGTGACATGCTGAAAAAAGTTTACGGAAAGGTTATTACGGATCAATTCCGTATGGAATAATCGTCCCGGAAACTTTTTCCCGGTATTCACACCTATAGCCATCTAGCTTCAAGGGGTCGGATAGATTTATTCAAAAATTTGTTAAGAGAGGTTTAATTTCCAAAAGTTTGAACAGCTTCCGGAAAGGTTCCGTCATATCATGCCTTGAGGAAACCAAGTTAATCCCGAAAAGTTTGGACATACCAACCATATGAAAACGAAAGAAATCAAACATAGTAAGGTTTTTTTTCTGTCAGCAAGCCACAAACCAGACATGTATTTCTAAACATCTTGGACTTTTAAACTGAATATAAAATACTTCTATGCCTGATGCTACACTTTGGCGGTGGGTTCTTTTTGTATGCAGTTGTGATCTACAACTAAGATTTGACATTTTTTTCTGCATTAGGTGTATTCGATTCAATACACGAAATGATAGAGTGATGTACGTTTGATTTTTCTTATTTAGACCCCATGTAAAGAATAAGAAATGGAAGACCCTCCTCTGCAGGACAAGAAATATCCGAACAGGTTAAAAAGTTGTTTTGGTTTATCCATATTTCTGTTCAAATTTCTTAAGCTTTAAAGCACTCGCATTTACTGTAAACTAGACAGAAGGTGAAAGTGAAATGTATGCAATCTTACTAGTCACTGGTACAACTTTATGACCTCGTAGCTTCTCTAGTTTTGTTTGTATGCACAAGTATAAGGAAAGCAAATTGTTTTGGTTACATATTTGAAATTCAAAATGTTGTGTTCTTTTCCATAACTTAATCATTGTTTTGCAGACATAACATTATTTAACCTTAAACCTTGATTTATCAAATTTTTGTAATTATAAAAATTTTAATTCTAATAGTCAATGAAAGCTGTTCTTGTCATCTGTGGGTAGTTTCATTATTCGTTTTATTTTCGGCAAAGTGTAAAATACCCAAATGTTTTTAAATTTGATTGTTCTAAGCATTGCTTTTCCCAAACTTTAGAGGAAGCATATGAAAAAACGAACCAAAAATTATCGTGTTAAAACGATCGATCGTCTTTTGGTTACAAACAAACCGTGTAGAACATCATATACATCATATACACAATAGCATACAAAGATAATTTCAGAGAAACAGGGTGTCCCACGAAACATGACAGTATGCAGGACGACTTGAATGTCGTCTTGATTATTGATATAATTTGCTGCGTTTATTTGTCAATCTAATTTTAGAAGTAAATTTCTAGAGATAATAATCAAAAAATTTCCCTTGGCCTGCCATTTCCAAAATGTGGTCTGCCTTTTTTGTGCTTTCAATATTGCCCGAGATATGAAGAATTTCGTTCAGATTTCGACAATTTTGCTTTTATTTAACAAAATTGAAATCTGAACCAAACTCTTTATATCTCCGGTAATATTGAAAGCACAAAAAACGCAGACCACTTTTTGGAAATGCCAGGGCTAGGAGAATTATGTGATAATTGTTTCAAGAATCATGCACGTTAAAGTAGATAGAAGACTAAATGTTACAAATAAATTCAAATACCAAAGACGACTTTCAAGTCGTCTTTCTATTGTCATGTTTCGTGGGACACCCTGTACCAATACAAAGATTATGGAGCTCCGAGCAAGCCAAATATTGCAAACCGTGGATTCTCACTTCTATAAAATCACTTGTCATAATTGGCAATTGTCCTCCTCTCACTACTCCCACCCCCATCCGTCACCAGCTCTTATTAATATATTAATAGGCCTGAAAGAGACTCTGTCATGAAATCTTGGTTCTCTCAGAAAACTGGGCCTAAATCCCCAGTTTTTCTTCATAACAACGGGAAATTCAAACGACCGAAAATGGAGGAGGTGAGGACAAAAGAGCTGAGTTCTTGTCTCTGATTCATTATTCCCTTTATCGTAACCCGATGCCGTAAAACTTTGATATTTCAATTGGTAAATTCTGTTTAAGTTTGAAAAATCAAAGGTTTACACAAAAAAAAGTTGCAGGATATAGGGCTTATACTATTTGAGTTCGTGGCAAGAACTCAGTTCCTTTTCTTTTTAATATAGGGTACGCAATTTCCAAAACGTGCTTATGTTCCAAACCTAACACTGAGTGTCAGGTTTGAGTGCAAATACTATGATCTACGTTTCAGTAACTCTTACTGTGCCGACTGCAAATATCAATTAAAGAAACAATTTCCAACAGCTTCAATTTGTAATGTTTTAACTACAGGGTGTCCCACGAAACATGACTGTTGGTAAATCGTTTTGAATGTTGTCTTTTATACACTGTATTAGATATTTCAGACTATTTATTTCGCTTAAAAAATCTTTTGATTAGATATTTTTTACTTTGAAGTTGATTTTACCATAATATGACTCTTGTATAGTAATTTATTATTGTTTTGGTAATAAACAACTTAACAAATTATGGAAGAAGACATTCTAAACTGTATTTGCTGGTTTAAATCTGATAATACTAGATGAGGATTAAATTATGGATCAATAATAACCTTATCTGAACAACTGAATAAATTCAAAGTATGTTACATGCTTTTTTTATTTCCGATATGGTGTCATACAAATGGAATTGAGCATTAGTTCATATTGTCAATAGTCCAATTGATAAAACATCTTCAACATTGAATGTATTAAACGTACGTTGTTCTCCATCTCAAAACATCTTCCTACAAGGAATATGCACAGGATGGAACTAAACTAAAAAAACACTATTTATTTCTTTACTAAATTTTAAACTGCTGACAGTCGTTCATTTTCAACAAATACCCCTTCCATTTTCGAAACGTTTCCATTTTTGCACATATCACAAATTCTAATCTTGGACACTTTTTAAAAGATAAAACAACTTTTGCAACTTAATATGTTTGAGAATATTCAACAATTCAGAACAAAACGCACTCCAGTGGAATTATAAACCCTCTGGATTCTTCAAGTGGAATTATAAACCCCCTGAAAAGGTTTATAAATCCCTCCCTGGATAGATATCTGAATCCCTCAATTGAAATTTTAAAACCTATAAGGACAGATAATGGGATCATTCCAGTGGAATTTTAACCCCAGGAATGGTATTTGAATTTCTCCTGTGGAATAATAAACCTCCAAGAACGATATCTGAATCCCTCCAGTGGAATTATAAACCCCCTGAAAGGATTTCTTAATCACTACAGTAGATAAACCCCTTGAGCTTGTTATGAGTTGTTATATTTTGAAATAGTCCAATTGATTTTTACATTTATATTGTTTCATTATTTAAATTTTACCGAATACAAAAAGCTTCTTTTTTCCAAATTGGGTAACTGCTTGAAAAGTATCATTGATTCAAATCTGTAAAATGTCTCAAAATCGCGACATGTTCCAAAACGAGTTTTTTTTCTAAAATGAAATCAACAGTCATCAAAATTTGAAATTTATCTATTTGTAGGGGCTTAATACAGTGAAACCCTTAATAAAGAATACATCGAAAGAATTTATCAAATGTCGTATTCTTCACTTTCTGATAATGGAATGTTGCAAGTATTTAGTTTTTTAATTAAATGATTATAACAACATACATGAAACTGTTCCCTCATATTCATGACTATTTATTTCTTTTCGCAAATACTGAAATTTACGTAATATAGTATAAAACTTATTGAAAAATGGTCAAGACGACATTTGATAGATTCTTCCGATGTATTCATTATTAAGGGTTTCACTGTAGTTAAAATTTTGTTAAAAAAGTGTATTCTACATACAGGTGGTTTTTATTCTCGACTTAAACTGAAAAATATAGACAGTGGAAAAAGGTAACTTTTCACATTTTGCCCAAACCTGACACTTAGTGTTATGACTGGGCCAAATCATGGTTTGGAACTTGCCTCCCTGTAATAATATTTACTGTTAACTGCTCAAGGGATGGATCGTTTCCACTTTTTTGAAAAACGAATGTTTCGCTTTGAAAACGACGAAGAAAAAACTAAAAAAGAAACGATGATTTTTAAAGTAATAGTTTTTATTTATTACTGATTTTTAAAAACGGTTGTTTTTTGGTCGGAAAGTCATGTAAGACAATATTCATAATCTTATCTTTCTGAAAAAATATTGAAATTAATTGTGATATTCGAAAATTTTCAAAAACGACAATTTTTTGTTAAAAAAAGATTGTTATCTGTTTAAAAAAACAATCATTTTTTGTTTTTTGAAAGGTCAAAACGAATAGTTAATTTTCAAAACGATCCTTTTTCGTTTTTTGAAAGTTAAAAACGAGTGGTTAGTATTAATAAATATCTTTTTTTCCAAAAAATACGAAACAAAAAACTATCGTTTTTCGATCTGTTTTTAAAAACGATCAACAACCCTACTCATGGCTTTAACTAGTTAAGTAAATCCATAATTTAGGTTCAACATTATAGATTTCACAAATTTAACAATTTAATTTTAATTTATAGAATTAATTTCTTTAATTTCAGTTTAAAGAGTTCTGCGCCGAATCCTCAATTCATGGGCTGAAATACATGACAGAGGTATGTGTAAAGAAATAATTAAAAGAATATTAGGTTAGGTTTTCAACATTCAGAAAAAACACGACAACCCGTAATATTTTCTGTTGATGTTGTTTTACCAATTTTTAGCTTTTATGTCGTACATCGATTTTTTTGTGGGGTATGATGATGTGAACCTAATTTTTGTTTACTGTGATAAGCATCGAAAACAGAATTTTTTAAAGTTTATTAAAATATTTTAACTTTGTTTTTTGGCAGTTGCACTGACAAGTTACAATTAGCTTGGCACTTCTTTTTTTTTTATGACGAAAATATTTTTTTAATAAAAGGTGTAGAATTCAGAACTAACTAAATTAAGGTGGGGGAGCTTTTAGGAAAAATATTACCAGCTCAAAGCTTTGAGAACCTTTGAGATACGAGCCTTCGAATATGATATTTACTTGTTCCAAAAAAAAACCTTCCAAATCGGATGCAGAAACATATTTTCAACATTGAAAGTTAAACTTTTGTGTGAGATAGATTTAATCTGCAATGCTTGATAAATTTGACTGATGATATCTTAAAGGGACTGTAAGTGTAATTTCTAGTGACTCTCCATGCAAATATGGCAATGCCCGATTCACAACCGTACCATTAAGAGCTTTGTCTGATCAAGTAAAAACTATATGCCTGCAATGTTTAAAAAGTGGAAAACCGCATTTCTACTACCTGAATACATATAGTAACTATTTGAATTTAATACCTGACAACTTAGAAAAAACTACATTATCTTCCTCATTATTGAACAAATATCGGTTTCGATCAGAGGTACAGTTGTGAATCGACATTGCCATCTTTCTATGAAGGGTCACTAGAAGTTACGCCTTCAGTCCTTTTAAAGAGAGTGTTCGAAAATAATTAAAGAGGGTATAGACTGATTTATAATTGTATTCAATATCGATCGCTACTAATTTTACTTTTATATGTTGCGCCTAAAAGGGGATAATAGTTAAAAAAGTCTTATAACCGAGAGCATAAATACGAATTTAGCGATGTTAATGTTTTCATTATTTTGAAAATGACGACAAAAAAAGAAAGCTCATCCCTTCATTAAGGATCGTTAATGAAGAAATAAGGGGATTGTAAACCACCCTAAAGGGCACGGTGCTTATTATTGAACAGCTTAAAGAAGTTTTTGCTCTCCCACAACTTTTTACTATCATGTAAGACGACATTCGATAAAATTGCATGTATTTTTCTAAAACTATCGTTTTCTAAAAACAACAGATTTTATAAAGTTTGTTGTTTCGTTAACGATCATTAACTCATCAATAACAATCGTTAACGATGACCCTTTGTTAACATATTCATCAATTACAATTTATAAAAAACAATCGCTGATCATTTTCATGAACACTCGTTATTCGTTTTCTGAAAGTTAAAAACGAGTGGGTTGATTTCAAAACAATCGTTTTTTTACGAAAACGAAACACTCGTTTTTGAAAGCGATCGTTTTCAAAAACGATTGACAACTCTATCAGCATGAGACATATGACATACAGACCATACATAAAGAAAAACATAATTTTGAAGATTTTTTTTTACGGGAGTGTTTTTTATGTCATATTTCATATGTCGCATGTGTCATTTGTTAATTAATTTAATTTGTATTCCAAACTTGGAAGAAAAACATAATTTTACGGCAAGTTTTATTATTTAATTTATTATATGTCAAGTTTTTTACTTTAAGGAAGATGCAATTTTCTACTGAGTTAATAAAAATAAGAGGTTTTCCTTGTGAATGATTAAATTTGCGTTCCATACATATATTTAATAAGTTCAAATGATGTATTGTATGTATGCATGTATTTAATAAGATTCAAATGATGTATTGTATGTATGCATGTATTTAATAAGATTCAAATGATGTATTGTATGTATGCATGTATTTAATAAGATTAAATGATGTATTGTATGTATGCATGTATTTAATAAGATTCAAATGATGTATTGTATGTATGCATGCGTTTAATAAGTTCAAATGATGTATTGTATGTATGCATGTGTTTAATAAGTTCAAATGACCCTTCATCCAAAGATGTGAATGCCCGATTTACAACGGTACACTTGATCTGATACTTGATCTGATACCAATTGTGGAGATAAAGTCATTTTTCTGATAAGCAAGAAATGTGCAAATCACTTTTGCAGAGAACCCACAAATCAAAATAAGCAGTCAACAAAATGCATGCATCTAATTCAGACAAAGTTTTTGCTGTGAATCCCTTTAAAAAGATCTCTGACTCCACCTGTATTTTCTAGGATGGTGTATCCTGGATACAACGGGTACTCTGGATTATTTGGTTTATTCTTGCTACCGCTTTCTTAATCTTTCTCTTTAAACCCATTATTGACAAGGTAACACTTTAACAAAAAACAGTGGCGCTGAACCAGAAAGAAGAGAATATATACGGAATATATATACGACCGGAAATGACTTGTGCAGGTAGTTTTCAGTTATAGTATTTTCGGAATATTTCTTCAGCGTTTGTATTGTTGTTGTTGTTGTTGGAGGGGGGGGGGCTTAGGACATTTTTCCAACTTGGTAATTGGTTTTTGTCACGATACTCCTCTTAAAATGCATTTGTCTTGTGTTTCATGGTGAGAATGGACAAAATGAATATATTCTGATAATCTTTTCATTTACAAACATTGTATGAATTATAACATTGCATTGATTTTTAATGATTTCAATTTCTAATTACGTTTTACGTTCATACATTTATCCTTGAATGGATCCAGTAATCCCAACGCAGCTGTCGAACTGGTAATTAGCCGCATAATAGTGGTAACCCTAATTTTGAATGTCGTCGTTGTTACTTCATATTTTATATGTTATAGCAAAAGCCACATAAAAGCACAGAGGTTTCGGGATAATCTAAATAAAAAAGATTCTAACAGTCATATAGAAAAGCTTTAGGTCCTCCAGCAGCACCCCAAAAATCCTATTTTAAGAGTTTTTAATCAAATAGCGAGTTTTTGGTCGAAATTCTTAACTATAAATCATGACATTTAAACCACTAACAGACTTCTATAAAAAAAAAAATTCTGAAGCGGCCAAGCCTTATTTGACATAAATGAGAGGTTTATAGAATAAAATTATTTTGGCTAACCCCCCCCCCATATTACCCCTCCCAGTCAAAACATATGTTAAACTAACTTTTGTTTTTCAATTTATCTATACCTATAATTTAGGGCCGGGCACGTTCCGACTTCGTTGAAATCGTTCCGTTCTGTTCTAGAACGAGGGCCTTCAGCTAGATTGTTCCGTTCTCGTTCCTTTTTTTGTAATCGTTCCATTCTCGTTCCGTTCCGTTCTGAGTAGCAGAACGGTCATCCCGTTCCGTTCCGTTCTTGGCGTTCTTAGTCGAAGAACGGTTCCATCCCTCTTGTTCTGTTCTTAGACAAGAACGTTTTCATCCCCCGTTCCGTTCTTAGTAAAGAACGGTTCCATCAAAGACAAAAGTTTAATAGAAAAGAGTTAAAAAGTAAAAAAATTACTATTTTATAATAAAAAGTCTTTTAGCTTATAAACTTTAACTTAAAATTATATATTTTAAATTTAGTGTTAAAAGATAATTTCTGGGCCAAACAATGTATAATTTTGTGAGAGCCCTAAAATCCTAAATATGTACGATATACAGAAGTTAAACTTAAACCTTCTATGTTAGTTTAAAGTACTGGTCTGCAAAGCAGTGCGACTGGCTTTCTCATGCCAGACCAGCGCCATTTCCTTTCCTTTTATTCCTATTCCCTGATGTTTAGGCAATGTGTACAGGGAAATTGTACAGTCCCCTTAAAATTTGACGAAAAGGTCAACATGTACAGATACAGAAGCTAGGGGGATTTTTGTAGACGTTATTTTGATTATGAATACAAATTTAGAGAATCGTTTTTAAGCCTTTGTCCATGGTCCCTAAAGGAACTGTAGACGTAATATTTAATTCATAGAGGGCCCCTGTAAGCTTTGTAATATAAAAAAATGAGTAAAATATCCATATTTTTGACTTTAAAAGTAAAAGCAAAAATGGTCAGAATTTAAACATTTTACAAGCTAGCAAAACGACGATATCTTCCAAATTATGTATCAAACAAAGGTTTAAAGAGTACCGTTGTGAATCGGTGAAGGGTAAATAAAATTTATTACGATAAACACTTCAAGTTTTTGAATTTTGAAAAAATGAACTATCATATACAAAAGTTTTTTGTCCAAGAATATTTTTTTGTGCTCTAAATTGAGAATTTTACTCAAAAAACTGTTATTTGTCCAACGAGCAATGTATTTCTATTCATACGCATGATACAAATTTAACGTCCAATATTCCTCTGTTTATATGTGATAAGTGAATTAATTAACTTGGAATACAAGGCCAAAAACGGAAAATTATAGGGCAAAAACATTAAATATTTGCTATTTTTTTTCTTTTCATTTAAAAAACTTATTTGATAACTGCACGGAGAGCACTAGACACAGTTAAATAAAATGGTATAAAGAAATATCTAAAATCTTTATTCATTATCCAATTAAAAAGAAACAAATTCTAAATCTGACGAAGCTGTAAGAATAATTTTATAAAGAATTACAAAATAGTGGGCTTAACAATTTATTAATGAAAAAAAAACAATATTTTAATTGGGATTCTAATTATTGTCAAGTATACACCGCAACTCCACTTTTTTCTTTTCTCAAAGATTTCTTGAAATAGAACTTCATGATTTTCCTGGTTTCCTTCACATGTGAACTTCATGCAGTACAAAAATCTCCTGACAGACCCGGCTTCATGAAACCTAGACAAGTTTTTATCTTTAAGAATATTTGTATCTTAAAATCAAAATATGCATCGTTAATATTCTACATTCTACTATAAAACAAAATATGCATTGGTTGATCTAGCTTTCCATTCTTCTTTCAAAAAATATTTCCACACAAATGACATAAGCGGGAAGGGATAGTCTAGCTCTGTTGCAGAAATGTTGATTTTTCAAAAAAAATGTAAATTATTTAAAATAAAATTCATATTTTACCTTGGTATAAGCGCCCAGCCCTAATCTATATACATGGATTGGATATTTCAGGGACAGGAAATTGCATAGATAGGATATTTTATATATAAAACAATTAAGAGAAAAAGACAGTGAATACTAAGAAAGAGAACTTTGGAAAAAGGGAATAAATTACCTAATCTACGAAAATTGTTCTTTGGCTGTATATGTCCATCTCTGAAATGTCCTCAAACCGTCACAAATCCATGGGTCTACATTATCAGGTTGCAAAGATATAAGGGATGAACAGTTTATGTTATTTTGGGTTAAATATTGTATTCCTTTTAATGCACTCTTGATTTTTTATTTTGAAGTTTTTAAATCAAATTCCATCTATATAGTACAGCAATACACCGACTATAACTACTGTGGATACAACAAACTATCCGATAGCCAACATTGATTTCCCCGGAGTCACAGTCTGCTCCAATATAAGGTTAGTAATATTGTAATTCAAATTTGACTAATTGTAACATTAATATTAGGAATTTTAAAACTTGGAATTTGATTAATGTGAATTTAAATAAGTGGAAATCGGAAATAATTGGAATTTAAACAACTAGAATTTAAAAAATTTAAACCAAAATCTGAACAAAATATGTTCTTTTTCCCACAAACTATTTTTTTAAGGTCAATAAACAATATCTTGTTTCCCAAAACTGTGAGTGGTCCTTCGCGTTTCCTTGACAATTTTGGAGATTTCCATGTTTAGCAAACTTTTTTTTTCAGGGTATCAGCTAATAACTATAAAAAAGCATCCAAGGTTTGTATTTTTACGTATTCTCAGAGGGGGTCTTATGTCTATCACCAAAATAAAAACTTGAGGGGGGGGGGGGTACAGTTAATTGATCAGAGTTATTAAAAAGAACAAAATTGTTTTGAATTTGTAATATTTAGCCGTCTAATTTCTTGTGCGTAAATCAAAATTAAAGCCGCTAAGAGGTCACAAAGTCGCATCAGTAATATTGCATAATTTGAACATCTCTTTCTGTGTAGTTGGCAGTTGGCATTTGGCACTGACAGTGGGCCGGGGTTGGCATAAATATGTTATATATTATAAAATTGTTCGTTAGTTTATTGAAGAACCTGTTTTGTTTTCAGAAAGACCCGTGGAAAAAATACGATGATGAAACAAAGCATCAGGAAAACGCAATAAATAAATTATCATTCAATTCTTTGTTGCATTTTGGGAGACTGTCAATCTAATTTCAAATGACTCTTTTAAAGCGAGCTAAAACAAATTTATTTTTTAAGTTCTAAATTTTCCTGATTTTTAAATCAAGATGGCGATGCAAACCGATTGTCGTCTTTTTTTCTTTCTTTGAATTGTGAACGTTTTTATGAGGATTTTTAACGGAACTAAGCTTTCGTCTCAAACTCTGATTTTAGAATCCATATATCTTTGCAACCCGATTTTGTAAACCATTGATATTTCAAACAATGAATTCTGTCAGATCAAATAGTTGAAGTTTCAATCATTAAATCATCAGGTTGCACAAAGATTGGGATTTAAGTTTGTGGCAAAAACTCAACTTTTACGACGTATAGTTTTCAAAATTACAAACTTCTTCATGACATTTAGTAACAAAAAATAGAAAACATCAATTATTCCAGTTTTTTGCCGGTTTCTACAAGCTTATCTCACGTCAAAATAAAGTAAATTACACGAAAATTAGTTAAAAAGGTCCAAACAGTGCAAGGATACTGGTCTAGTCTTTACCGTACCAGCCTAAATTTCAACACTTCCTTCTGTCTAGTTCAATGTGATATGAGCTGGGAACTCTCGTATTGTGAATTTCAAGATTAATGCTTAATCTCAATGTTTTTTAATCTGCAGATTAATTTGATCTTTATTGGATATTCCAAATGTTAATCGTACCTAGCCAGTGGTTGAATTATCTATTCCTAGTTTGGTTCCTACTGAGCACACTGTAACTCTTATTCTCTTTTCCACTCATAATACAGATTGATGACAGGCTAAAAATCAACAATACTGAAAGATTTATTATATTCTGTTTATTTGTGCCATATCTGGGGCTAACAAAGTAAATACCTCAATATAGCAGGATGCCAAACATAACAATATGTATCGGTCACAAACATTTTATTCTGAAAAAGATCACTAGATCAATTTCATGCGCATTCATGCTGCAACATTAATAACGGAAAAGCAAAACTTTCCAATACTTGACTTAACACACTACTAAGAGTATACTAAGAACTTTGTACTATGCCCCACATGTATCGGCAATATTTACGGGTAGAACTGGTTTCTTTAGCCGGAGTTCAGAAGTTCAGAGAATACAAGCATACAGCGCACACCGTCTAATCCAGGGGTAACACAAATCCAGAGGGAGTGTCTAGGGGTTACGTACACACACAGAAACAGGAAAAAAAGAAAACTGATTTTAGTTGCAACTGCACCCCGCGACTGGAACTTTAGGGTCTGATTGATTGCTGATACTGCACCCCCTGACTGGAACCCAACGAAGCTTTAGAGCACATTTATTGAGCTTTATGATCAACCAAGCACAGACTTAATCCAACACTGGCATTGATAATACTAAAAGTGCATAATATCGGACAAAAATATATTATTAATAATATCGGACAAAAATATATTATTAAAAAATGCAGAACATTGTTACTTATCCCCTAATCAGCATTTCGCCATATAACAACTTGCCTAAGTAACATTTTGCCATATAACAACTTGCCGTATAACATATTCTAATATTACAACAACTCGCCTATATATGGTCTCCATATAAAAACAAACTAATAAATTCTATTCAGTAGAATGTAGTTTAATAGAAAGTATATGTAGTAATATAAAATTGTGAAACATTGCTCAGCTATATTGATGAATACATACATACATATATAAGCAGATTTAAATTTAGCTTCCTCGTTGAAGTCCATATGTCCAATCATTTGAATGTATTCTTGAGGAGGGGTGGGGTTGAAGCGCTTGTCACACAAAACTTGATCTTTTGCATGTTGTCCAGGGCTGCCTGCTTCCTGCCTGTGTTTCCACGGATGTACTGACCGACAGAGCTAGACAGAAAAACACGTCGTGTGTTTGCTTCCTGGGATTTAACAATCTTTAGAAAGTCCCAAACATTTGTCTTTGCTCCAACTAAACTGTTAATCATCCTGTTATAGCTCTAAAAGCATATTGTTGGTCTGTGGACCATCCTGTAGTATAGTTTCATATTGGTTCCATAGAATTGGAGCAAACAATACAGAATTGCCTCTTCTAAACTCAATCCAGGTTTTCTGGAAGTATACAACAAATGCATACGCACATGGGATGCCTGCACCCCCTGCAGGGGGCTGGGGTTGATTTGAAGGTGCAATCACAGAGCCAGATTAAATGGTTGCGAAGAATATCAGCTCCAAAACCACTGAGGCAAATCACCATTGACTGGGTTTTGTCGTTATCAGTCCAGTCCCTAAAGAGTTTAAGGTCCCCCTCCCATCCCCAGTTTGAGAGAACTTGTCAGGGACAGCAGTCAACTTGAATTCTGCATGGTAATATGGATAGGGTTTCCAACGTAATAGATTATTCACTTACGGGAAATTACGTGCAGTTACGCCAAATAATTTTCATTTGTGTAATTTCGCAGGATTACGGTAATTAATTAACATTAATTTTGCAAAATTACGGCATAATTTTGCTTAATATCTGCAACATAATTTCGCGAAATTTTGTAAAATATGCGTAACTAGCGAAACTTTGATTTCACAAAATTACGCCTTAATTTCACATCATTCTACTAAAATAATTTTGCGAAATGTTGCAATTATTACGACTAATTAGCGAAACCTCCATACAAACCAACCTAGGAGAACATTTTAACCTTCCTGGACATGAACTCTGCCATATAAAAGCTAGCGTACTAGAGAAGGTTTGGGACCTTTGGAGAAGTTTACTTTCAGAAGAATCTAAATACATCAGAAATTTTATGACTGAACTCACAGGAATGAACAGAAAAAAATAGTTTTTATTTAATTTTAAACTGTTATTCAATATTTAAGAAAAAGATTATTGTTTATTTCCAATTCTTTAAAAGGTTTAAATACCTATCTTTAGACAAGCCCCCCCCCCTTGAAATATGCTAAATATATACACTATACATATAAACTATGCAGTTTGTTTTTAATCTTCATTTGACAGAAACAATCTTAAGGAATAATATAAAAAAACATTTTTTTTAAAAGCAAATATTTGCAAATTATCTTTTTTCCATCTCATGATCTGAGTTCGTTTCTCTTTAGTCAATTGTACAGCCCGTTTGAAATTGTTTTTAAATAATCTTTTTTGTTTGTTTGTTTTCAATGGTGTTTGATATCAAATTTAATGGCTATTATATCGTTAGAACTGACGAGGGTCAACCTAGATTGAAATATGTATATTTTTAATAAAATTTTTAATAAAACATCTACTTTTTTTCTCTACAGAGGTTTATTCCATCCCCATCATCAAATTTTAATTCAATTTGAAAGTATTTAAGTTATACAAGCAGATTGGACATGGTTGTAGCTTGTATATCCTTACACACATTTTCCCGCTATATTCATTTCTGAGAATTACAGAATGGTTTTGTAATACATAATTTCACGTAATTACGCCTCAATTATGCAAAACTAGACTTTATTTCATATAAGTAATCAACATGTAATTTTGCGTAATGCTCCTCTGTAAGTGAAAGAAAGTGTTACGCATAATTTCTCATAATTGTGTGAAAGGTAATTACGACTGGAAACCTTAGATGGAATCTTGGGTCCAATGTCTGTCTTTTTCCTCCATAGAGCCATTTTTATGGCCCCAGTACTTGAATCACTACTAAGTTTTCCTTGGAATGTTGTACACAGCCTATTGGTGCTAATCTCTTGCCCAACAGCAGCAGGGGTTGCTCCATGAACTTCAGCATACTGAGATACAACAGCTTTTTCAGTAACGTGGGGCTAACTTTCTCCTCAACATGTTACCATGATTGTGTGATGACAGATTTTCTCCAACAAGGTTCCCTGTTCTTTTTCTTGTTGTCAGAGTAGTTGCTTATGTCAACTAGTTGTAGATGCGTGCAGTACTCCCGACATTGTTGGAATTACTGTATTTGTGGATTTTTGGTTTTTGATTCATAGATTTTCTGGTATAATTTCATTAACACTACAATTTAATCTAAACATTTATATATACAGCAAAGTTGTTGTTACATGGCGAAATGTTATATGGCGTAATGTTATGTGGCAAGATGTTACTGAGCCCTTTGCCAGTGTTTATATCTGGAACCCATAACTTATTAATCCATAGATTATACTCAACGTTCATAATCTAAATCCCTGATTTGTGAATCCTTAGATTACGGCTCAGTAACATTTTGCCTAGCACAAGTTCGCCTAGTACACTTTCGCCTAGTACACTTTCGCCTAGCTCAAGTTCGCCTAGATAACATTTTGCCTAGATAACATTTTGCCAAGACAACATTTTGCCTAGATAACATTTTGCCTAGATAACATTTTGCCTAGATAACATTAGAGAGTAATTTTCGCCTAGATTAACATTCTTCAAATTAACCAGCTTTTGGAACAAAAAAAGTACTCAATTTTTACTATAAAAATTTCACAATTTTTTTTTGTAGTTTAAATCATTCAGTTTTCTACTGGCATTGAAAATTTGTAAACATTATTTTAATACATTTTTTCTGCTTTTAATTGAATTTCTTGAGAAAAAAGAGGAACTTTATAAATTTTAGTGAATTTATCTAGGCGAAAATTACCTTCTAATGTTATCTAGGCAAAATGTTATCTAGGCGAAATGTTGTCTAGGCAAACTGTGTTTAGGCAAAATGTTATCTAGGCAAAAAGTTAGTAGGCAAACATGTACTAGGCGAAAGTGTACTAGGCGAACTTGTACTAGGCAAAATGTTACTGAGCCTTAGATTACACCTACATAATCAGTGTTTATGACTTGGACCCTTTACTCTTAATCCACGGATTCACCTAAATCCATTTAATTTTTTTTACTTTGATCTCCTCAACCTCCAGAGGAATTTCAAAATGGAACTCTAGGTTGTCTGGAAACACGATTTCATCTTTCTCACCAGCACCTTTAATCCTTTCATCATAGGTTTGGAAGATTACACTCTCTGACCTGGACATCCTGGATACAGCACTCATCTGCTTCCCTGGCTTCACTTCAGCACAATCTGAAGCTGAACCAGTAGCACCATGAGTACTGCAGATGAAGTCTGTTGTCCTGGACTCCAAGGCCACTCACCAGTACCACTCCAGAAGGACCTGGAGTTGTCTTTGTTAGCATTAAAATTGCGTAAAAATTGCGCTCTTTTTACGCATATGTTTTGAGTGTTTAAATATTGAAGAGTTCAGTGACCCAGGTGTGTGTGCAGCAATGTTATATTATATAGAAAGGCGTGTGATTTGAAGATAATAGTGGGAAGGGGGGGGGGGGGTTAATTGGGCAGAGAATTTACAGTGCTATATAGCACACTGGTTTTTAGTACCAAATTTCACCGCTAGGTTCTCTGTTACATTCACGTAAATTTTAAAAAAAGTAAAAAGGTTCAGATTAAATTTTTTACTAAAAGTATATCATTTAGAAGTCAAGATTTGGGTTTTAAATTATTTTAAATTTTTTTAAATAAAACATTTTTATTAAGAAAATGCACTGAATTTTCTATCAAAGAGTTTTATATAACTTTTATAACTCCCATATACGTATAAAGCTTAATGCTATAATCTCTATGTTGAACCGTATTCCCAGATGAATGGAAACAGTTCAGAGAAAGTACCATGCCTACTCAGGGATGGCCAATCTGCATGCATCAAATATTGCATAACTTTTGGTAATTGAGTAAATAAAAATGCACATTTTTGGCGTAAATTTGTTTAATATTATTACGTAAATTTTAAATCTACTAAATTTGCGTAGCTAAGTGTGCGATTTTACGTCTTTCATGACGTAAAAAGAGCCAAAATCTCTACGCAAAATTATGTAAAAATGCGAAAAGTGACGCTTAAATTGTGCTCTTTTTGCGCAATTTGGCTAGCTGGGTTACTTATGTAAAATCCTTAATGCCAGTCTTATAAAGTTATAATGTTGGAACGGAACATTCTTGATCATATATCTCTTATCAATATAAATATCTTCCAGCTTCACCATAAATCCTATCTCAACCAGATCTTTTACCACATTCCTCATCCCCTCTTTGAACGGAATGCTCTTCCTATATTAACTTGTATATATCCCGTCAAGGCTTTGTTATAATTATTAGATCCGTTGTGCTTGGCTGATAAAGATTTTACTGGATCCATTAGAAATGGATAATTCACCACTACCTTCCTCAGATTAGTAACAATCCTCACTCTCTCCTCAATGAACTGCTGTTCTCTAACTTCATGTAAAGATATTGCAGTCCTTCTACTAGATGTCTTGCAAGTTAAACATTTTGCACACACTAAGCATCTGAATCCAATGATATCCTCCTTATCTTCATCATCTATTGCATTTCTAAACTTTGCAATAGGAACATGAGCTTTGTGAATACCATTGAGAATCTTCAACTTATCTATAGTATCCAGCAAACTCTTTTTATCACTTGTTGAATTATTAATTTGTTTCCAGTCTGTCTTTTCTTCATTACCTACTGTGTCTCTAAGTTTTGCAGCAGAAAGGTGAGCATAGAGTATTCAACTCATCTTCTATGTCTAACAAATTCTCATGATCATCCAATGAAGATTCAAATTGCTGAGGCACAGCTCCATTTCAGTTTAGCACATCATCTTCATTGATAGGGTAAAGATGTACTGTAGTCTGGATTAGGGCTGGGCACATTCCGACTTTTTTAAAATCGTTCCGTTCCGTTCTAGAACGAGGGCCTTCAGATAAACCGTTCCGTTCTCGTTCCTTTTTTGTTGTATAGTCCGTTAATGTAATGTAATGCATTAAATCCTTGCAGTGGAGTAAATAAGGGGGGTTATTAGGGTTATTTACCCCCCCTTAGAATCNTCGTTCCATTTGTTCTCGGGAAAGAACAATGGTTCCACCAGGAACACGCCCAGCCTTAGTCTGGATGTAGTCCAGGTGATGGAATATAATCTTTCTCAGCTTCAAGATTATCCTGGATCCTCTCTCTCATGAAGAAAACCTCATTCAACATTCCATTCTTCACTCCTTTTTCTCCTTTTGTGAAAGATTTATGCAGGCCAGCATAAATCCATCATCTTGCTGCTCAAACTCTTCACATATTTCTGACAAATCATAGGATTCAAATCAAGCAGTCACATCATCCATCCCAACACACACTACCTTATGAAACTCACCCTTGTCTCCAGGTCCTAAATTGAATCTGAATGCTCCATGTTTAGATCTAACCTTATTACCTCCAACTACTGTCAGGCTTGTAGGTATACTGGAAACTCGTTGTAATCCTTCCTTTTCAGCTAGGGATCTATCCTAACAGTTTGCATCAGATAACAGGAATGTTCCAATATCTCTGGGATGATGTCTTTGGGTTGAACCTCAACACTCTTTCCAGTCTATGGTCTATGAAAGAAACAGCTTTGTCTTTGAAGTTGTCCTGAACCCACCTAAATGCATTCACGGAGCTAGGATTCAATGAGAATACTTGGAAGATGTAGTTAAATGCAAACTTTATCCTTGAATCCACCACAGTCCCAAGTTTACCTATATACTTCTTGAGATCTTTTTTTCATATCTTTAAATGATGCACAAAGCTTTGCAAGATCCTTATACATACAGAACAGGATATTGAACGGAGCTAGATTCTTGGATTGAGCCCACAAAGCACACCCTTGGCACTTCAGTGTCAAGGGTGTTCAGTGTCAAGGTACTGATGCTTCAAAACTACACTGACAAGTTTTTCCCTTTATCCATCCTGCTCCATCTATCCACGGGATTGATTGAAAAGAATTCAGGGCATGTACTCATTCCTATAGGACAAGGAAACTTCAGATTAGCCAGATACCATTGAGTATTATGAAAAGTAGTTGCAAAAATACTTGTAGGTTGATCATCGTCAGATTTATCCTCACATACTTCTTGAACCTTATGAGCAGACCTGGGTTTCAATCTTGGAGATCTTGGTTTTGTCTTTGGAGAAGTAGGTCTCTTAGGTTCCCTGGAACCTTCACTTGTTTTCCTAACTATGATTCAAAGACTCTTGAACACTTGGTATGCTTCTAATCCCCCTGGATTCTTGTAATCCAGATCATTCTTGGTCATCTCAGTGATCCATTTAGTACAGGTCTTTGATGGTAACACCAGAAACTACTCAGGGTAGCCCTAGAGTACAGACAACTCTCAAGCTCAAGCTTGTCTATACAATTTACCTTCGACAGTGTCTCTAATCTTTGTAGAGCACCAGAGATATAGGTATAGAAAGAAAACCTGGAATCATTATCATTAGGATTGATGAAAGGAAAAGATTTATTGCAAATTCAATCTGTTAAATAAAAACATTCCATTATCATACAGTAATATAAAAAAAAAAGAATTTTAAAAAGAATTTATGTAGAATTCAGGTGAGCACCATCTTTTCTTTTATAAATACAAAGATACTAATAACAACAATAGAAAAAACTTATTATATTCTGTTCATCCTAAAATAATTCATGCCATACCCAGGCTAACAAAGTAAATACCTCAATATAACTTAGCAGGACGCCAAACATAACAAATGTATTGGTCACAAAAAAATACCACTTGTTCAATTTCATGCGCATTCATGCTGCAACATTAATAATGGAAAAGCAAAACTTTCCAATACTTAACTTAACACACTACTAAGAGTATACTAAGAACTTTGTACTATGCCCCACATGTATCTGCAATATTCAGCTGGAGTTCAGAAGTTCAGTGAATACTAACATACAGCTTACACCGTTTGATCCAGGTTGCAACACAAATCCAGGAGGGAGTATCCAGGGGATACTTGGAAACAGATCAAGACCATTTAGTTGCGAAACAAAGTTATAGCATTTCATCCTTAAATTTAAAGTGCCTACATTTGATATTGAGATCAAATGATCATAATTATGAGTCTCCAACCAACTCAAAAGGTCCAAGATAACGATTACTTTCTCCTGGAAAAGAAGATAAGCTTGTTTCATCTATAAATCATTACTGGCTCTCTTTATATCATATTGACAATCTTTTTAATGATGTTGTTTTAATAACCAAAAACGCTAAGCAACATGACAAAAGGGTTATCAAAACCAAAAGACCAAGCAACAAAATTAAAATTATGAAAAATTGTAAACTTTGAAAGATGGTGACGAACTTAGTCAAGTTCAATTCTGACAGAAAGGTCCTTTTTAAAATGCCAAGTGCTGAAGAGATGATAGTTAAAGAAGAAAAATTGGTCACTAACTTCATGTACCAGGTCTATATACATATATATTATTAATATGTACCAAATCTAAATACACTAACTGCATGTATATATATATTTATAAATATATATATAATATATAATAAATTACTTCATGTTCCAGCAATTTATATATTATATAGTTATCACATAATAACTCCAGGTATTAGGCAAAGTGAGAAAAGGGTTTAACCCACAAAGCTAGAATGATTCTCGTACAAAGAAGCAGCAGTGTGTTTTTAGATTGCTCCCAGCTGCGAAAGAATGTTTCTCTTCTGCAAATGGCAAGGAAAACAGGAAGAATGCAAGCATTTTGGTAGGTACTCCAAAATTGAAGTGTCCATTTTTGTTTAAAAAAAGGTTTAAAAAAACTAGCTGAAGATACATGAAGTTATACAGCCGGGGTACAATTGCGTTTAATATTTACTGTAAATGAAAATTAAGTGTTTGCAAAAAACTCAGATTTTAAAATCCAGATATCTTAGATCAAGTAGTATTTAGAATATTAAAGGTTCCAACCTTAAGGTTGCAAATGTATAAAAATTAAAACATTTAAGATTGTGGCAGAAATCACATTGACATGTTAGTTGATCTGAGAGTGCAGTATTGTAGAGAAAATGTTCTGGATTCATTTGAGACCACCTGAATTGTCCATTCCAGAGGATTGAATTTGAAAAAAATAAAAAAATAATTTTATAAGAAGGACGTAGAATGTAGCAAAAATTTTACGGTAAAATAATATGGCCTGTATAGGAACAGGTTAAGAAAAAATGTAACATTGAAAATAAGCTGTTTTAACTCATTAGGGATTTTTGCTAACAAAATTTGAAGATATCTACCAACATATTTTAAGAGTAGATAATGATGATAAATTAAATGAATCCATTCTATGATGACTTTCATCAATTTCTGTGGAGAAATATGTTCCTAAAACTTTCATGCTGTTATTCAATTATTTAAAAAAAAAATCAATTTTCAAAATCAACCCTCCGTAATTGACAATACAGTAGGATTTTAAAAATTTCATTTGCTTGCTTGTGAATCAATAATAAACCATAAAAACGTTTCATAGGTCCCTTATGAATCCTGAAAAATATCTCTGCAATACTGCACTCTCAGCTAAACTACCATGTCTAACCATTTGGATTCCCCTTGTCTGCAGTGCCATTTCTGTACTAGCAATGAATTTAGAATGCTTGTCAAAATACATATCATTTAAGTTACCATGAGGAAGACTGATGATGGTTTCTGTTGTTCTTTTAATGCTATTAATTTGGCAGATTCCTTTGCAAAGGTAATCTACATATTTAGGCTAAGACATAATTGGGAAAATTTTATAATTTTGTTATGACAGGATGAAAATTCAACTGGAGACGACTTTGCAAACCCATATGCCTACTGTGATGCAAATACAGGTAGTGGATCAGGCAATTCTTATGACAGTGGCTATGAGTCTAATCCAGCTGAGGAGCCTGACGGGAGTGGTGATGGAGCTGATACTGGAGACGGAGCTGAAAGTGGTTCTGGAAGTGGAAGTAATTTCTATTGCCAAGGCATGTCTAGTAGTGGTTCGGAAACCCCTGACAGTAACACTGGTGATGAAAACGGGGATCTCAGTTTTTCCGGGCTATTGGCTGGGTAAGGCTAAGTCAGGATAAAAATACGATTATTTCTTATTCATTTGTTTAGGTATGACAAAGATAACACCAATGTTTGCCAAGGTTAATAAGGATGACTAGATTTTTTTAATAAAAAGATTTTCTACATCTTTAGGGTTCAATGTGTAGATAACTTTAAATAACCTTAAATGTATCAGATTAAAAACTAATAACAATATCAAAGGAGTAAAAAATGGTGTTGGCAGCCACAATCCCTTTGAAAGGATACATTCGCAAACAATGAAAAGGGATACCTCATTATAAATTCGTTGATTAATGATTTTTAACCTTTAACTGTAAGTTATTCACATGAACCACTGGCCCAGGAAGAGTACTACATTAGGGAATTAAAGAAGTTGACTTCTCTTAAAACTCTTTTTTATAATACCTTTTTTTGTGCAGCCTGAAGGCAACAACTCTTAATATTTAAAACTTTGACAATCTATAGCAGAATTCTTCGATTGAAATATAAATTCCTTGAATAAAAGAATGATATATACTTTGGAGAAAAAACTCAGCAGGAGCAGTTGAACGAGCGGTTGAGATCTAGACTAGATTGTTAGCAACTTCTTTGCTTTCAACAGCTGGATTTCAGATTTTTCAGGAACTTTTTTGCATCCAATAGCTCGGTTTAAGATTTTGAACAACTTTTTGCTTTCAACCATTGGAAAACAAATATTTAAAAATGTTTTCGCTTTCAACTACTTGTTTTAAGATTTGTCAGCAGATCATTTACTCTCAACAGCTGAGTTTTAGATTTTGAATAACTTTTTGTTTTTAACAACTGGAAAGCAGGTTTTCTTTCAGCTGCTAGGTGTAGAGTTTTCAGCAAATTTTTTGCTTTTATAACCACTGGTTTTTAGTTTTTTCAGTAATGTTTTGCTTTCAACCAGTACTTCAGATCTTGCACAAATTTTGCTTTCAACCACTAGAAAAAAGTTCTTCTTGGAAAACGTTTTTCCTTTCACAGCTGGTTTTAAGTTTTTTTTTCCATAACTTTTTTGCTTTCAACCAACAGTTAAGATTTTGAAAGCACCTTCAGAAAAAGTTTTTCTTGGAAAATGTTTCAGAACAACTTTTTGTTTTTAATCACTAGAAAACAGTTTTTTTTTTCAACTTTTTGCTTTCAACCATGGAAAAATAATTTTTTTAAACGTTATTGCTTTCAACCACAGGTTGTAATATTTTTTCAGCCACTTATTTACTCCCAACCGCTGGGTTTAAGATTTTAAACAAATTTTTGCTATCAACCACTGGAAAACAGTTTTTCTTGCAAAACTTTTTTTTTCTTTCCACCATTATGGTGGGAAAAAAACCGCTGGGTTACAGATTTTTCAACAAAGTTCTTGCTTTCAACAACTGGAAAACAATTTGTTTTGATTAAAACTAACCACCTGAAACCAGCAGAGACCAGAGACATGTGGTTAAGGGCCTGCAGCAGCTACCTCCTTTATAGATCCCAGCTATCAAAATAACCAATTATGGCTTTACTGCCTCATATATACGACAGGCTTTTTCAGAGCTACGATCATCATGTGTGTACTTACGTACAGATTGAGGTTCTTCCTGTAGGAACAACTCCAATCATTTTATCTGAAACAAATATTCAAGCAATAGTATAAGAAGTAAACCCGGCAAATATTGACACACCTGGCATATATGAAGGTTCACCCGAGAGTTATTGTTTTATGGTTCTTCTCTTCTCTGATTCTTTCAGTGCCGTGCTCATACTCGTCCGCACTGGTACCAGGCGCGTTTTAAAGTTCAAAAGGGAATATCCCTGACAATTTAGATAAAAAATTGTTGTTTAAAATCATTAAATTTTAACGAAAAAATTACGATCATTGCGATTGAATAAATTCTAATTTTGAGATAAAAATGTGCATTTCTTATTCTAGACTGGGTAGAGTCTGAGATAGATCTCAACCACTCCTGCTGAGTTTTTTTTCTTCTAAGTTTTTATCATTCAAATTAAATGATTTGGAAATTACAGATTGTTGCAAGGTATCAGATCCTTTATTATCTTGCATTGATCAATCATCCTTTATACTTAATAAACCTAACATTCTCACAAATGGTGTTAGGTACTATCCCAAAGGCATTTTCCCAAGGGCAACTTTCCAAGTGACATTTTCCCAAGCGGCAACATCCCAAATGGGAAAAACCAAATGACAATTTCCAAAAGTATTAAATGAACATTTAAGTTATACATCTTTAGAGAAGAACTTTTTTTCGAAAAAACGCAACTTAAAAAAAGATTTTCCATCAGTTCCTCTCAGTTAGTAAGGCAAGAACATGTTGGTGGCCTACACCCTTTTTTTAAAGAACGATCCTTATTATTATTTACGGTTAGGTTAAGCCTTCTGAGGCTAGTATGGGCTAGGGAGCAGAGCACTGCAGCTATTACTTGTTTGAAAGAAAATAAAGTACATTATTTAAGGTTAGATTAGGCGTCTGATGCAACGCAGACTACAATAGGGGCCGATTGCTGCGACTATTCCTTGTTTTAAAGAAAATATAGTAAATTATTTAAGGAAATTGTTAATTGGGAAGATGTACATTTGGGAAGTTGCCGCTTTTCCTTCATGGGGAAGTTGCCACTTGAAAAATTGTCATTTGGGAAAATGTACATTTGAGAAGTTGCCGCTTTTTCTTTATGGGGAAGTTGCAACTTGGGAAATTGTCAGTTGGGGAAATGTATATTTGGGAAGTTGCCGCTTGGGAAATTGCACATTTTGAAAGTTGCCACTTGGGAAATTACCCTTGGAAAGTTGCCACTTGGGAAAAGGCCTTTGGGAAAGTACCTAACATCACACAAATGCTTGATCATATTTTAAAACCGTTTTTGATCAAACATTAAAGCTTTATTTAGTGACACAATTTATTTTTTATTTTAAATTAGAAAATTATGATAATATGTGTGTTTTTAAATAACTGAACACACCCTTTGACTGTTCATGCAATCTCACAGATTTTTTTCGTCTATAATTCCTTAATTGCAAAAACACTGAAATAAATCTACGCTTGTCTAAAGTACCGACAAAACCGCAAGCATATAGAAAGAAGAGAAACACAGAGGGAGAAACTCCTCCTGAAGAAACTGAAACTCTAGGAGAAGGTTTGAATTTGGAAGCAAACTCAGATACATTAGAAGTTCTTCAAGAATCAGAGGAGGAGACAGTAGGGGGATATACAATACTAAGAACCAATATGGCTGCTCAGGATCTTGGCTTTTCTTTTCTGATAGATGCTAATGCGATGGATGAATTTAAGAATAGTTGGAATGAGTTAACATCTAACAACTTTTACATCGGCTTTAAGGTTTGGTTTTGTAAATGATTAAAATTTTGTCGAGTTTTTCGCTATAACCAATAATTTAAAAAGATATGTTGTATAACTTTTACACACATCAATAGAATATAACTTTACAAGTAGTATACCTGAATTTATTCAAAATGTCTATATATAGCCTTCAGGGACCAAATTTAATGAATTTGAAATGCCTAAATTTGAATCACCCATTCTAAGGCTTCCTTAATCTTTAACTTTGAATAGGTGTTCATTAGTCAAATATAGGGTGTTAAGGGTTTTTGGAGTTGATCTAAAAAAACAAGTATATAGTGTTGTTCTATGATGGTATAGTAACAGATTCACGATGAGTTCGTAATATTTCATGTAGAGCCTAAAAAATAAAGAGACTTTTTAAAATTTATATTATTTTCGTTTTTTTCCTTCCTTCTTCTTTGGTCTACATATTCAAAATTCAAAGTTGGGTTTAAAAATTTAACATACTAAATGAATTTCTAAATGGGCATTCTTGAATAACTTGAGACAGCTTTTCCCAGCTTTTCTCCGTGCCCTTTAAATGCCTCATTACTAGTGTATCTCTTTTATGTCTTTTTGAAGCTGCAGGCATGGACTGCTTCACTGCATTGTTCTGTATAAATTCCAGTCCGTTTCAAAAACTCTTCCACATGATAGATAAGCACATGTCCTTTCCATCCTAAATAAAATTTTTTACTAAAATCAATTAAAGGAAATGAGTTTTTGCCACAAACTCAAATTTTCTCAAACATACGACTATTTGATCTAACAAAATTCATAGTTTGAAATATCAAAGGACTATGTCGGTGGGTTGCAAATATATAGGTATTGAAAAAATTGTGGTGAAAAACTCATCAATATTGAGAAAAGAATCTATTGTAAAAAATCAAAGAGCTTAGCCTCCTTTTGTATGCTTCTTACCTAGCTTCAAACTGAATCCAAGGTCTTCAACATACTCAGACACAAACTGCATATCAAATAATAAGTTTTAATTGTGTTTCATTTATAAAACTGATTTAGTTTTCAATTAATTTACTATAAAACTCATTTATATACATGGTTATTCACAAAGGAAGGGAACTAAATGATCACAAGGGCGTATGTATTTCCTTGAAAATTATTTTTTCTCACCTCTCTTCTAAAATCATGTTTTCCTAATTATGTAAAAAATGTCAATGATTTGTCACATCATTTACAAAAAGGCATTCTTTTAAGTCTAATCATATGAAAAACCATTTACCTTTAGCTCATTCTCAAAATCTTCAAAAGCCATGCCTTTGCCATCTAAGAGCTCCATTCCAAAGCATGATACTACAACTGAAAAAAAAATTATATCTTTCAAGTTTTGAAATTAATCAAAGATCAAAAGTGGAGTTATCACTGTATGTAGCAAGGACTTTTTAAGTTATTATTTTATTTTTCATTAGACATTGAAAGTAGAGCTAAAAGTTACCTTATTACTGTTTCTTCCATCTCTAGACCTCCACCATTATAACCATGGAATATAATTCCAGAAGCTTTAAACCAATTAGCGACAGCTGGCTGATTGAAAAGAAGCTAAGCACAGACAGTTACAATTTTCATCAGCAAATGCTGTTTTGCAGGGGGTACAACATCTAGGAAAAAGGCTATTATCTGATTACTTTAGTAAACTTGGTTTGAGTACATTCTTGTAATTCATGTTTTTAGAGCCATTTTCTTTATAAGCTGAGTAATTCATATTAAGACCACCAAATGTCCGAGATCCCTAGGTTCTTCTGAAATTAAGACAAAGGAATTGCGTCTTTGCCATACAGTCTGATTTTATAATACCTTCATTTTTTTCAGAATTCATAGTTTGAAATATCTAAGGTCTACGACATTGGGTTGCAAAGATGTAGAGATTAGAAAATCAAAGTTTGTGACAAAGACTCAACCTTTTATATTTCAAGTAAAAATTAAGATATCCCAATCAGAGTAAATCTAAAAATCAATACAATCACCTATGGTCCCAGAACAGTAAAGCCAGCTGAATTTTCCACCATGTGCACTTGAGCCAAGCAAAATATTCAAGAATTTTATAATCTGCTGCTACATAATACTTGAGCTCATTGAGACCTGTTTTCTGGAATATTGTCTCCAGTTTCCATGAGTTTCTGGGATGTATTTGACTGCTGCTATTTATATGACTTTTTTAACTACAATGTCCTAAGAGATAGAGGTGTTCTCTAAATTCGGACTAAAAATATTCATGATTAACTTCAGAGAGACTCCTCCGCCATCAATTCCAACCCTTCAAATGGTTTTCATTTCCGCTGATCAAATATATTATAAAGGAGTCTAGAGAGGTTGTTAGTAGAGACAGGATATTTAGAAATTGGTCTGGAAACTCAACTCAACTTGTTCCATAGTGTAGAATTCATCTAGTCCATGAGATTTCTTCTCTATCTCTAATTTTTAAACTGGAATAGGACTTTACACCTTTTTTATTCATCACACTGTATCACATTCACTATGCATAAAATGTTACAGTTATTACAGGAGGGGACTCTTCAACCCCCCCCCCCCTGCCCCCTAACTTTCAGTCATTAGTTGTAAATCTGATACATGTTATTTCTTAGCTAAATCTTTAATTTTCTAATCCATAACTTTTAGTCATTTGTTGCAGGCTGTAATTTGATTTCTTAGTTGTAATTCGATTTCTTAGTTCTTAGTCATTTCTTGGCTAAAACTCTAATTTTCTAATCCATAAATCTTTGAAACCTGACATATAAACTATGAATTCTGCCAGATAAAATATTCAAAGTTTGAAATATCTAAGTGTAACTAATTAGGTTGCAAAGATAAAATGCTTAGATGAATAGAGTTTGTGACAAGTAATCAATTTCTTTCATTAATATATACTTTTGAAAATTAGGTATAAGCAAAAAATCAAAATAATACCGATCTTGGTAATAATTTCAGCCTTTCAGCATTTAAAATCCACTTCATAAGCACATTTACAGATAATTTAACCGACCTGTGTTTTTTACAATTTGATACAATAAATAACTTAAGTTGTTTTAATTTCTGTGTTTATATACACAATCTCTTATGTAATTTTAACACATTTTACATTTAATTCTTTAAAGTATTTGAAACTTAACTTAAAGATGCACTGAAGTTTTTATCTGAACTAAAAAGCAAATGGAAAATACCATTTATCACATTACGGTATGTAACATAAAAACATTTACAACGTAAATATCTTTTTTAATAAAAAAATACAGGATACATTTACAGGATATGCAGATTCCGATAGGGTTGGAGAGACTATTCGAGTTGAAATCTGGGTTAATGAATATTTTTATAAAGTCTTGCAATATCTGCCCTTCTCCACAACTTGCCAGGCTGATACAATTTAAACTTTTTACTCCACATGTCGCACAAACTACCTTTCGGCTATCAATATGGTTTTTAGCCGTTGTAGGTGTGGTAATACAGCTTAACTTTGAATATAATTGTGATTGAATGTATTATTTTATCAGAAAACTGTATACAAGATGTTAACCCATTAGTGATGAGACAAATAATTCTTTCTGATCTTGCTGAAATTCACAGGGTTAACTCATTATACTGTCCATAGAGGGATCTAAAGTTTCAATTTTTTTCAATGAAGGGTTGTGGAGATACAAAACCCGGCACATTTTGTCCGTCTCGGCATAAACATTTGGTTTAAAAATGAAGGCGCTAAAAAATAAAAACCTTACCTGGTCAAAATTGACCGTCTCCTCACTAATTGGTTAATTTCGTAAATTTATGTCTCTAATTTTGTGAATTTTCTACTCAATTCCTTTCTTTTTCTTGAAAATTACAAATGTTTTTATTACTATTTCAAATGGCAATTGCATAAAGGGCTCTAAATGAAATATTTCAAACTCATCGTGAATCTGTTACTAACTCCAAAAACCCTTAAGACCCTATATTTGAATTTTATGTGAAACATTAGAACTGGCAGAACTTAGTTCAGCCTCGTAGCTCAAATTCTTTAAATTTGGTGCAGGGTTCACAAAATATTTCAGATTTTAATTGGTGTTACACTGCTAAATTGTATTTTCACTTGTCCCCGTAAACTTTAGGTTTTTTTAAATTATGGAATTTTTTTTCTCAATGCGTATTATATTAACAATACTAGTACTGTATTAACATTAAAAGTTTATTTTAAAGATGCAAGACTCGCATAATTAAACTCATTAACCCTAGTAACAATTAAACTGGGACAAGGGTTAGCATTGCATTCGGAACCTTGAGACACTATATACAGTGCGTGTATTAATAGGTTCTGGTCCACTCTCCTCATGAATTTCCTGACGTAACTAAAAAAGGAATGGCAATTCCACTAGGCAGTGAGAACTTCATTGGGGTCTCCGCACAAATTACAGAATCGTAAGTATCTACCTTTTTTCTAATTAAAAAGGTTGATACTGTGTACTCGAATGATTTCATAGCAATTAGAATTTTATTTATGAATTCACTTAATAAATAATATAATTTCTCTAATTTCTTGTGTATCCTAAAGCCGAAATTAATATAAAGCTTAACTGCTTATTGTTTTTCTTTGAATCTTACTTTCAGTAACAATTTTAGCTTTTATATGTTACTTTAGAAAATCTTAAAACTCAAAATTTCGTGGGTTTTTCTGTTAAAATTTTTGGATTTTCGAAAAGCGTAAAAAAATACACTTTTTTCGACCAGACATAACACTTCCCTGGGAACAGATCTAATGAGTAGGGAAAGTTGATTAAATAGATTAAATTGAACCACATCAGATATTCTCAAACACAAAATAGCTGTATGAACTACTTCAGGGACTTGAACTCTTCATCCATCCAGTGGAAAGCTGACGGGTTTAAAGTTTTACACCGGGGAAATGTATCCATTCCTCTGGCCAATAAAAGAGGCATATTCTAATTTGCTAAAGGAATTGAGTCTTTGCCACTAACTCTGATTTTCTAATCACTATATCTTTGGAACCAAATGTTGCAGACCTTAGATATTTCAAACTATGAATTCTGTTAGATCAAATAATCTGAGTTTGAAATATCAAAAGTTTACAACATCGAGTTATAAAGATATTGAGGTTTAAATATTTGATTTTGTTCTAAAGATTCAATTCCTTTGTAGCAACCGATAAGATCCTTTAATCACTGATATCTAACCAATGACTATTTTAATATCTGAGCTATCTGCTTAGGTAAATCCGAAAGGATTTCACCAATTACAACAATTGGCCTTCAAAATGAATGAGCATTCTGGACTAAAGTTTAGTCATCCGTTGAAAAGGGAGCCAGCTAAGCGTTGTAATTTTACCTTCAGGTCAGATAGTGTAAAGGCGATGTCTCCCTCCCGAAGGAACTGCCTTCTACCGGATGAAACTCAAGTTCCAGAAATGAATGTGAGTCTTGGAGCGTTTAAAGAATACAACAAGGTAAAATGTTTTAATTTATTTTGTATCTTTCTCTGAACCTGACAAAGTTTTTTTAACGAACAGGCGTTTTAGATTGAGTTTGAAAACCGAATTAATTGACAACTAAAAGGAATAAACGAAAAAACAATTATGTAAATTTGTATACAGTTGTCAGCGTTTATACAATAAAGACAACTTTTTAAGTTTTGACTGTTAACAGGCCTTTTTTGAATTACAAGTTTAGAAGTAAACAGAGAGAAGCAGTTATTTGACAGCCTTTCTGTGTTTCTATGATTGTATCCATGCTGTTTAAAACCTTGTTGGAAATTAAAATTAAAATTGAAAGTTGTTTTCATTGTATTAATATAAATGACATTCCGACTACTGTCTTTAATCTAATCTAACTATAATTAGTATTTTTAGAATCAAGAACCTTTCTTAAGCAAGTAATATTAGGGTCCGGCAGATTTGTAAATGTTTATCAACGAACAAAAGTTCAAAAAAATAAATGGTAAAATTCTGTTAATGAATAAAATGAACCGGTGATTTTAACCATTGAACTGAAAATCATGGTTGTGTTAAAAATGAATGAGTACTTGAATTTAACCAACCCTTTTATGAACGGATTGAAGAGATGCAACTCAGCTCTATTCTTGTTTAAGTTGTATCTTTAATTATTAATGTAAGAACAATTAGAAAAAAAAAGTTTTCTTTAGGCCAACTGTTTACTCGAGTGTACTGCTGCTGCTATGCTACAGTTGTGTGGATGTATACCATACTACTATCCAGCCTTTCCCAAATCATTTATTGATAAAAATATTAAACTGACAACTTATACTAATAGCACTGGATTTTGCCATTACGATAATCTTGTGTGTCTCAGCATGCATCGAGGTAAGGACACATAACACAAGGTTAACCACAAAGAATGTGAAATCCTGTATTATTTAGCAAGCCATATTTGACAAATAAATGACTCAACATTTAATTTAGCAATTACAATTTTTAGGGTATTTCAATGCCTACGCTACTCCTGGAACCGAAGAAAGCTACGGAATAAATCTTGGATTGAATTGCAATTGCCCAGATGATTGTAATCAAATTGTGTACACAAAGGTATACATATTTTCATTTTATTTTATACAATTTCTGAAAAAGATTATTCATATATTTAAAATTCTCAAGGCCCCTTTTACGGAATCAAGACATAATTCTAGGCCAAACTTGTTGCAAAACCCTATCTCTGCTGGGGTACTTGAAAACCAGGATATGCTGGGGGGGGGCCATTTGACCTCCCCTCCAAATCCCATGTTTGATGTTCAAATATGACAAATGATACAATATTGGAAAGCTCTCGTGCTCTACTTTTAGAATCTGCAAAAAAATTTGCAAATTTGCAAAAATTGAATTTTTTACCGCAAAATCCAGTTGTATAGTAAAAATGTTTGCAAAAAAAATTTGTCCAAAAAATTAGAAATTATACATGTTTGTAAAGCCCTTGACCATGCCATTTCAAATTTGCAAAAATATTTGCAAAATTTTAATTAACCTGATTTTTGATCAAGAAAAACAAAAAAATGTGCAAATTTCCTTTGACAGGTTGTGTGCAAAAAAATTGCAATTTTTTTCGTAAAAACTAGTGCAATTCGTTTCCTTATGTCAAAGGCTTTCCAAAAAGCTAAATTTTATCAAAATCTGACAAGTGGAAGTGGGTCAAAACAAAGATTTAGTTTGTTACAGGAAAAAGCATTCATTCAAGCATTCAGGCCTGGGGACTCAGGCAGTTAGTATTAAAGCCCGATTTTAGGCCTAAAGGGAGGGCTTTGGGTATGTAGGAAAAGTCAGAAAATTTCAACAATCTGAGACCAATACTTTTTGAGTTATAAAAAAACTACAGGGAGGGGGGGTCAAATTGACCCCCCCCCCAGCAGGAATAGGGTTAAAGAGCCGAAATCAATCAATCCAATTATATCATTCATATATGTCTAGATAAGGAATCTACCCCCTTAATTTTGGCATTTAAATTTGAAGTTTTAAAATTTTTATTATTTAATTTTAGGAGATGTCAAACGGGGTGTTGAAGGATAACAATGATGTAAGACTTTTGAAATATTCATAATAACTTTTCAGGAGAGAAAGCCTATTAAAAATTATTCAAGCTCAACATACAACTTGATAACTTTTTCGAAATTTAATGTATATTCAGATTATCAAAAAGATGTATATATAAATAAAAAAGATATTCAAAAATATGAAAATTCATTTTCCTTGATGTCCTTTTCAAAATAATAAGGATTTGGAATACTTGTCTTAAACTCTAATTTTTTGAACCATCAATGTTTGGAACCTAATGGTGTAAACAATTTTATATTTCAAACTTTGACAATTAGATCTGAACATCTGGAAGATATGGAGATTAGAAAATTAGAGGTTGAGTCAAATTATAAACTCTTTTAACATAAAAATTAGACAATAAGACAATAAAGACAATAAAGAATAAAAGAAAGATGCAAACATCTTTCTGTCATTCTTTGATAATGATAGTTCTTATGTGTAAAACCTAACAACTTCATATCAGTGTTAAATAAGCTTCGGTTTGCATGATATAGAGATGCAGCAATAAACCCCAATGTTTTAAATGTTAACAAAATTCTTTCAAAATAATTTATTATTAGGCCTTGTACAAGAATTCTTTATGCGAGGGAGGATGGACAGAAGACGCTAGTTCTATATGCGAGAAAACATTGTTCAAACAAGAGTTTGATCAACTGACAAAATACGCGGCTAAAATTCAGGATTATAACTGTCACGAAGGGTGAATATTTTATGAAATTTTTGTTGTTTTGTATGAATGTACACTTTTTTTCAGGACATTTAAGAAGAAAATTGAAAACACTGCATATGTGCATGTGTTTTTTAGAGACATCGGAGTAACGAAATTCAATAAAGATCAGCTTTTTGGATGGCAAGATATTGTAGGTATATGTAAGCTTAAACTCACCAATCATGAAATTAAAAATCCAAAATTTTAAGAAACAAAATTTAGAAAAGAACCCACTTACTTATTTTGAGTCTAGTACATACCAATGCAAATATATATGCATTTAAAGGAGGTGTTATGAAATCAAATTGAACTTTTTGTTAACCCTATCCCCGCTGGGGTACTTGAAAACCAGGATACGCTGGAGGGGGTCAATTTGACCCCCCCTCTAAACCCCATGTTTTATGTCCAAATATGACAAATGATACATCATTAGAAAGCTCTTGTGCTCTACTTTTAGAATCTGCAAAAAAATTTGCAAATTTGCGAAAATTGAATTTTTTATCGCAAAATCCAGTTTTATAGTAAAAATGTTTGCAAAAAAAAATTTGTCCAAAAAATGAAAAATTATACATTTTTGAAAAGCCCTTGACCATCCCATTTCAAATATGCAAAAATATTTGCAAAATTTTAATTAACCTGATTTTTGATCAAGAAAAACAAAAAAATGTGCAAATTTCCTTTGACAGGTTGTGTGCAAAAAAATTGCAATTTTTTTCGTAAAAACTAGTGCAATTCGTTTCCTTATGTCAAAGGCTTTCCAAAAAGCTAAATTTTATCAAAATCTGACAAGTGGAAGTGGGTCAAAACAAAGATTTAGTTTGTTACAGGAAAAAGCATTCATTCAAGCATTCAGGCCTGGGGACTCAGGCAGTTAGTATTAAAGCCCGATTTTAGGCCTAAAGGGAGGGCTTTGGGTATGTAGGAAAAGTCAGAAAATTTCAACAGCCTCAGACCAATACTTTTTGAGTTATGTAAAAAAACTACAGGGGGGGGGGGTCAAATTGACCCCCCCCCAGCGGGAATAGGGTTAAGTATGATGTTTAAGATTTTGATTCGGTACTATACCCCGGGTCCAATTGAAGAACACGCTTTTCTTTTATCCTTTTCTCATTACAGAAAAAATAGATTGCTACCGAGCAAACCAAATTAAATTCGGATTTAGCCATTAGATAGCACTTTTTAAACAAATACTTCAAGATTATGCGATATTGACATTCAAATTCCCCTCGTTCACTGCAGAACACAGTTTTTTAGTGTGAAACGTCGGAAATATTTGTTTACAAACAGCAGCACCTAAGAAACATAAACAAGTAATTTCAAATGAACATTTACAGCCCAGTTTGGAGGAACTGTAGGACTATGTGTTGGATTCAGTTTACTGAGTGGATGCGAGATAATCTACTTCCTGTTCTGTAGGCGTTGGCTCAGGAAATAAAAAGGTACAACTTCAATACAACTTAAATTTGGTAAATTACAGCAGAACTATTTAAATAGCCTGTACGCGTAACTTTAAGTGACCCTTTATATAAAGACGGCCATGTGCGATTCAAATAGATTGGCAAATGTATTTGATTAAGAATGTATAAGATATTGTCGTAGTTCTAGTTTGAAAAGTGGTTAAATCTGATAATACCAATATGGTTTCTGCAGTAGAAATGTTGTAAGTTTCTTTTGATGAGAAAACACAATCAAAAATGACCAGTATTCTGAATTTTATACATTTATATTTCATTCATATTCGATCATTCTCAATACTTTATATGTATTGTGGATATTGAGATCAAACATTTGCTCTTCTAAAGATTAATCCAAGCGTAATTCAATATCTGCATTGTAATTATAACCTAAAGGGATAACTGATATAACGATATTTACCATCGATCGTCAAATTAAAAGTTTCCACAGTGGATATCGAGATTAAGCAATCAGGATGAGTATTTAACACAAAAGTTCCCAGCTCAGGCTGTCTTCTTCTTAGTCCAAACCAGGGAGTAAGGAATAGAAGGGAGATATAACTGACGTGGTTCGCCCTACCATTTGATTATACATGCTTTACAGACAAAGTACTCCATTTGAATAAGAAATATTTAAATGTCGTCTTATGCACAATTACATGTATTCAGAAAAGGTCATTGAATACAATTAACAGGGAAAAAAGTATGCTGAACCGCGTCAGTTATATCTTCCTTCTATTCCTTACTCCCTGGTCCAAACGTTTATGTAAATTATTTCTATTAAGGTTTAACATTTTTTGGTATGCTGCAATGAAGAAAATAATGCTGGAAATATAAAAATCATTAATTAACATGATCGAGGGTCTCATATTTTTCTCATATGTCATGCTTGTAAAACGAATGATATGTTTCCAATATTTATCAATATATCTAGAAATTCATGAAATAGGGCTTGCTTTTCTGCTTCTCTTAACCCTAAACAGGCGCCCCTGTTGTTTTGTTTGTCCTAGCACTCTTATTCTTGGCACAATCACCGTGAAATTTTGCGACTTTTAATGAATAGTAATTTAAAGGATTTTTTGTAAATTTAAAAAAAAAATTTTATAGGATAGGGCACAGGGTTGTAAAAAAGTCCGGTCTGTGAAAAAAATCTAAAATAGCCCTTAACTTTTTTGTGACTAAAGCTTCAGATCTAAAAACTTTTTTTTGGAAAAAAGCATGTAGAAACATGTGTCACACTTTGATATTTATTCAAAACAAAAAAAAATATTTTTTTTCATTTTTGTTACCCTTTTTTAGGCATTTTTTTCAACCCTCCTAGCACCCAAACTATTATATTGAAAAATTGGACTATGAACATGCATTTCAACCCTACAACTATTATCTAAGGCCTTTTTCTAATACAAAGATTCAGATCTCCCAGCCTTTAGCTTGTTTACTTAAACATAAAGTTAATTAACACAATTTATATTCTCTTCAGAATATTAAATTTTCAAAAGGAATACATTTGAATTTTTTGGGTTTTTTTGTTGATGATGATGATAAATGTTTACGTGTCATTTAAAAAACCGGCGCTGATATTTGGTGAAATAATTATATAGATATATATTATAAATGAATACGTTCTAGAATAATTTGCTTGTAATACTTTTCTTTTATCTTGGTTTTGTCATCGAAAACAAAGCTCTGAAAAGTTGAATCTTGTGTTTCCAGTAATATACTACACGGTTATTTCGCTTTCTATATTAGTCAAATAAATTATATTTGTATTTTTTTCTATAAAGTGAGAGTGAGTGGCAATTTGTTTGTTGTAGTCAACTCTCTGAGCACTAGGTCATGGACCATGGTATCAGTAGTGTCTTTTGTTTCTTTTTGATCGGGATTTCAAATATTATGAATAATTTTTACCAACAATTAGCTCAATCTGGTCAAATCTCGGCTCATTTATTCAATTAAAACTAGGGTTAGTTGTCCTTTACTGATTGATATCAGCTGTTGGTGTATATGAATGAAAATTATGCAAAACTAAGTGTTTGCGAAAATTGAAATGGGGTTATAGACTGATATCGAATTGAATTCGATATTGATCGAATTGAATTCGATCTTGAATACTGCTAATTTTACTTTTATAAGTTGTGTATACTAGGAGAAAAGGGATAAACACGTCTTAAACCTATTTGCGTAGCATCCATAGAAATTCACAGACTTGCATTATTCCTCTCAAATCGTAAATAGTTCAATAATTCTTAAAATGAATCATTCAGTTATTACAACCTATGAATGTCAAATTCAATTTGATGCTTTTTAAAAATTTTAATAATTTATTTTGATAAAATTTTTTATTTTATGATGTTAGATGGAAATATTTTGAGATTTCTATATTGCTTGTTATTCATTCAAATTCGACTAATTTTGAAATTTACTTTACAAGAAAAACTATTTTTTAAAGGATCTTGCTTTTTTCTCAACCCTGTATTTAATTGTACTAGCTGAGCTACGCATTCTAATCTCTTGTAGACAAGGGAAAAATGCATTTTGATGTATATTTCTAATTATTCGTACTTGAGTCAGCTTCATTCAAACATTTTCTAGAGCATCTTATTTTGAGTGGAATACATAGAAAGGAATCTTCCACTGCAGTCCAGTCCTCACAGTTGGTCGAGTAAAAAACTGGTATTGTTGTGCATGGCTCTGCACTCAGCATTTTTCTGTTTTTATTTTACCTTTTATGCCTTAACCAATCAGAAATCGAAATATATCTCTTCAAAGTAATATCCACAATAATTTAAAGAATTGTTTAATCCACAAATATCAAATATTGATTTATTCAATTGATCATAACTTGTTTTCTTGACAGTTTTGACATTCTGGGGTATCAGGATGCTCCGGAGGTTTTTTTGCGTGGCTCATAGCGGCCCTGTACCCCATCCCTAACGCTACAATAATATTTTTCACAAAAAAGGGACACATATGCAAACTTATATTTGCAACTGTTGAATGCAGTCTGGGGGTGTAATATGACACCAAACCATTTTGAGGCACGACTTTCTGTCAGTCTCGGCACTAACAAAAAGTCGGATTAAATGGCTCCAAGGCATTTATTTAGACCCGACTTAGATCAAAACAAATAAATAAGATTGAATTTATTGGAAGAGAGTAACAGTTCAACTAAGTTTAGCTAGTTTTGCTGTGGTGTACTCTCCTTCACTCTAAAGAAGTAGTTCAACTATCTGAACCTAATTTATCTACTTCTCACTCTTTAATTCCGACCTTTATCCTTTAACCCTATCCCTGCTGGGGTACTTGAAAACCAGGATACGCTGGGGGGGGTCAATTTGACCCCCCCCCCAGCAGGAATAAGGTTAACAATTTACACATAAGCTGCACATTAACTGGTATAATTTATCATTAAAGTTTAAATTCTAGATTTAGACTTCCCAACCCTTTTTAAGGTGAATCATCAAATTGCTTTTTTATATCTTGAACTCTTCTTTGTGAGAAGCTAGTCTGAAACAATGTGTTAATATTACTAAGGTGATCATTTATCACTAAATCAGTTTCTGAATCACTGAAATCATCTGTAGCTATATCAGAGTCATGAGTCGCTGATAAATCAGTTATAGGAACTGTCTGGGGATATTTTGCAGCTGATAAAATATCATCTGATGACATGTTGACGTTTACATCTTGAGGGTAGACAAACGTGACCTGAAATTATATTGGAACTGAATACTCACCTCAAACACTAGTTTTATAATCCTTACATCTTTGCAACCTGATGTCACAGACTTTTAATATTTCAAATTTTGAATTCTGCCAGATATAAAGTCTTATTTTGCTTTTTTAAATTTTTACACCATTAGGTTGAAAAGATATGATAAGGATTTGAAATTTAGAGTTAAAGATGATAATTTTTAAATATACAAACATTTTTTAATTCAGTTTAAATGAAAAAAAAATCATTTAAATCAATTCAGAAAATTTGAAAATTCAAAAATTATAAAAAAAATAACACTTTTTCTCAATCTAAATATTCCGAGGACGTGTTCTGTGTGTTCATTTGTAAAATTTCACTGTTTTCAATTAATTTTTTTTATACATAAAATCTTAATAATAAGTAAATGATGAGGTTGGAAGTTAACAGTAATTTATAATTTATAAAATCAGTTTCATTCGTATTGCTGCAATTCCATTAATAATGAATAAGTATCGAGCAAGCAAAGATTTTATCTGTCTACATCACGCAAAAATAGCTGAATATTGTAATTTTGTAATTGCTTCAAAATGATAGTTTTTTGCCATTATGCTTTGAATAGCAAGGGAGGTTCAAAACTCAAATATTTTAAAGTATTGGTTTCTTGTCGAAAAAGGAAAAACTTGAAAACAAATTACTACAATACATGAGTTAGGTAAAAGTTAAAAAAAATAAGCGAATGAAGGTACAGAGTGTCCCAATAAACATGGAAATTTTATTTTGGAATCTTTATTTTAATTAAAGAATTGTCGTTATAGTTAGTTCCATACATGCATTATTATAAATCACATCGATAAATATAAGCATAACAAGATGTAATTTGATTGTTAGTTTATATTCTATATAATGTTGTAACAATAATAGAGTATATGTGTAGGATGTATTGTATATATAGCAACTGGATTGTATTATGATGAGGGGATACCAATGGTTGAAATATTTTTCTCAAAAGATATGTATCCCCTGGAACCGATTTCAAAGGGGGTCAGGTTAACTTTGTGTGAGGTTATGTCAGAGCAGAAATCATATGGGAATATTTTTTTATTAGGTTTGCTGCCTAATGTTTGGCTCTAGAGGAGCAGTGAGCTCAAATATATTTACTTCATCGTGAGAAATAATAACTATATTAGAACGGAGAGTGGTCTGTAGGAGGTGACGAATACAAGAATAGAGTTATATTACCCAATTTCAATGGTCATAATATAGTTATGTCTGCTAGAGTATATTTTATGTAAATACCAAAAGACTGTAATGTATTGTTGTAGAAAACAAAAAGCTTGAGTTGGTCTGGTTGATATCTCCTCTACTCCACATACACGAGTTGCAAATATAATAACTTTATTTCAAACCTACAAACAAAAATACAGTTTTAGTAAATAAAATATTGGTACAAATAGTTTTTATAGTTAATGATATAAACTTACTATGTCAATGAGCTGGATCTGGTTTAAAACGTTTTATGACTTCTTAAAAATAAATACCTGGTTGGTTAAATAAAATTGTTGATGATCGAAGAGCTAATCATGGATTTTAAGCATTTACTATATTTAATCGTTTTCACTTTTAAATGATTCTTGTATGAGTTGTCGGAGAAATTTGGTTTGGGTTGCTCCGGGATGGAGGGGGGAGGTTTTTTTGAAAAGACGACATATCTGGGAGAAATTTCTAGGAATTTCTCATTTTACAAGTACAACAGTATTTAATCAAAACACATAAACAAACCAAAATGCTTAACTTAGCAGAACGAAATATCTACAAATTACAGGTTTTCTAGTATGAACATCGCCGTACTAAATTGAAAACTCGTATCTAAGGACGATATAAAAATCGTCACTGAATTACCATGTTTATTGGGACACCCTGTAAATCTAAGCATGCACAACTTGCACTTATATTAAATTTACCTTGATGAAAATAATTGCAAAAATCATCACTATTGGTAGCAGAATTATGAGTGGACGCACAATCTTGGTTAGGCATACTCTAGTTCAGATTTACAAGATCAAATGTTACAGCTGTTACAGTATTACATACGTACATACAGGGTTACCACAAAATATGGAGACTGTCAATATACGACTTGAAACTCGTGAATGTCTCGATATCCCAATTTTACATTAAATCCTTTTGCCTTAGCATATTAAATGAGTGGAAAAAAGGAAAGACGTTTATAGTTGCAAGGAATGCAAGGAATCATAAATATAAGGAAACAGACAATATAAATTCCGCACAGTCGTCTCTTATGTCTTATACTTTGTAGGTAACCCTGTATAATTCTACTGATCAATTCCAGCGAAAATTTAAGTCTAATCCTGAATTTAAGATGAATTTATTAATTAATTTGATTACTTTTAGCTCTAATTTGATAATACCTATATTTGCGACCTGATTGTATAACCCAATGATATTCTGAACTTTTGAATATTTAAGCAGAAGGAATTCATGCATGCTTCGAATATTAAAAGTGTACATCATGTTGCAAAGATATAGAGATTAAGAAAGTTAGAGTCAAGTGTTGGTAACTTTGTTTTCATTTTGATTTTCAAAATAAGAAAAATATGATGAAAAACACTTTTCGATATTTTGTGCATTTTGTCCTTCTTAACAAAATATTTTTTGCAATTTGTTTCTCTGCCTAGTATCTATTGTCAGTTCTCCTCTGCCTGCAAACCTTCCATCTTCCTCTTGAAGCACCGCGTGCATCTTTTTCAAGGATTGTGTTATGTGTTATGATTTTGCAAATTGTGTTTTTTTTTCAATAAAAAATAACAATCAAGCATCCTCTATTTTAGATAACAAAATTGTAAAACAATATTAACAAACAAACAAACAAAAATTAATGTTACGACTTTTAAAATATTCATTTTTATTTTCATTTTTATTTTCAAATTTCAAATTAGTTTTTAATAACTAAAACAAGTATTTACAAATAAAAATGCACTTGAACAGTTATAAATTAAATTAAAGAACAGCTTTGTTTGTAAAATTAATTTATTTGTAAAAATTATTTAAATTTAGCTTTTGTTACAGAATTTTCACAAACAAAGTCCAACCCTGATTTTAGGAGTTAATTTCTTGATTTGAACTTACAACTAGCTTAAGATGACATATATATCTGTGTAGAGCTGGAAACTAGGAGACTTACTGAACCAGATTTGTAATACTGATGAATAATAGATTAAATCAATGCTACAGAGATGTAACTGGAATTAAATCCTCTGTTCCTATTCAGAAAATCAATATTCGATGGTGTATTTTTCGACCAACGCAAATCCGCCATACTCCACCTCTGACCTACGCCAAATCCGCTATACTTCACATCCGACCTACTAGCACGAGGTTTTACAGCTGCTTGATGGACTTCCGGCCACTGCGCCCGGCCCCCTAGCCTGTCCTAGCCGCGGTGCTCGGTCCCTAGCCTGTCCTAGCCGCGGTGCTCGGTCCCTAACTGTCATGTTTCGTAGGACACCCTCCATATAATTCTTTTAATTGTACATCGAAGTAACATGCATTGTGGGATTTGTCAGAATTGAGTGAAATATGTTTTAGGATTTAATTTTCGAATCATCAAAATTGTTTCCCAATAATTATAAGCCATAAATTTATCACAGCTTTAAAAGTTTAGGTCAACTGCCTAGTTGCCTAGGCAGGCACTGGCTTCAAATTATTTTAAAAAACTGAAAAAAGTGATGCATCTGGTAAAAGTCCCGATACTGCTGAGTGCTGGTGTTTCCTGTTCAATATCAGTCGGCGCGAAAAACGTGAATATTTTCGTTTTTTTCGCAAAATTTCGCTTCAATCTGTTTCGCGATATAAAAATCGCGAAAGTTTCGCGATATAGAAATCGCGAAAGTTTCGCGAAAAATTATAAACATTTCGCGAAAAAAGAATGCGAAAATTTCGCGAAAAAATAATGCAAAAATACAGAATTGTTTAAAAACAAATGCAAAATTTTTGCGAAAATTCATCAAAAAAGACAACATTTTGGGACTCATTTTCAAAGAAAGATTAATTTTGATGGATAAACACAAAATATAACTAAAGATTTAAGAATGACTCGGAGACATAAGACATTTGGCGAAATTTATGCATTTCGCGTAAATATTTTTTTTTTCGCGAAATTTTCGCATTTTGTAAGTGTACGGTACAGCTAACTGAGCACACAGGTAGAAAACTGTACAGTTGGATCCCCATCAAGTTGAATATTTTCAGAAAAACTTTAAATTTAAATTTTGCATTCACTCGTACTGCCATTTTTTTTAAATTCCTCCCAGAACATCTTCCAACACAGCCTCGAACATGCGTTTCCACGTATTTTGACTATTTATAATCGGACTTTTTCTTGGGCCTTTGCTCATTAACATAAGAGAACGTCAAGAAAACAATTTTTTTTGAGCTGAGATTTTAAAAGCTTAAACCCGAGTAAAATCAGGTGTTAGTGTCTATTTACGAGATCTTTACTCTAACTCTCTAACGTAAATACCATTATATTTTAACATTTAAGACCTAGCGAATTTTCTGTAAGGTTAAAATTGGCTAGATTTGAAGAAATAATATAAAATGGAAATAATATACATAATACATACGTAATTAATTTAAGATTTCAAAATTTACACCGAGTCAGTCTAGATCTATCAGCTAATTTGTAGATTCTCATTGGTTAAATCAGATCCAGTTAGAATCATTGGGATAATGTAGACCCTAGGAAAGACCTGGGCTCAAGAAAGGCTCAAGTCTAAGAAAAATTGGGCTTTTTAAAAATTTTAGCTCTGATTTTATTTCAATACATAAATTCATTTAATAATTCATTTGAAACAACGATTGAAAGTAAAACAAGCAAAAACATATACTAATTGTGTACATTTTCTAGCTAATACAGTCAATACAATAATCTTTTCAGATTTTCATTTGATTTGATCATTTTGTTTGTCGATTTTTCATTACAATCCATCCAGTCTTAACCCCGCTTAATAGATAATCAAATTAATTTCTATATGTTTATAATTTGATGATACTTTTTTAATAAATAAAAGCCATTCAAGGAAAAATGGATTTTAAGTCACTTCTTCATTAAATTTAAAATGACAATGAACAAAAGTACCCTTCAATATACCCTTCAATATACCCTTCAATATACCCTTCAATATACCCTTCAATATACCCTTCAATATACCCTTCAATATACCCTTCAATATACCCTTCACATCTTATCTGATTAGTAAATAATCAAGGTAATCAAGGTAAAGCTGAATATCTCTAGAAAAAGCAGCAAGATAATAGTTGAATCCAGGGATTCATTGATCCACCTGGAACCCATTCCTCTTCAGGGGCTAAAGGAGGGGGCTCTCTCCCAGGAGCACCCTGAAAACGCAACAAATTACTTAAATTTAATTTTATAAACCCTAGACTCTTAAAGTCTGATAAGAAGCACCTTTGATCTTTCCAACTTTGGCTGTTGATCTAACAACTTGACATTTCAAAGGTCTGCGACATTAGGTTGCAAAGGTACAACAATTAGATCAATAGAAATTTAGGAAAGTAAAAAGTCTTTTTGATATCTTTATAATTTGAATTATATTTCATGCATAAAGTCAAATAACTGTTAATGTTTCTTTCTTTAGATGAAAATATGCATACATTATATGCATTGCAGTATAATTGATAAAAGTAACACTTAGAAATGTTTGCAATTTTTTTTAATATTATCTTTTTTAGGAAATGCTTACCTTAGGAGGTCCATACAGAGCTTGAATTCCTAAAATGTCGTCTTCAGCTAGTGCCAAGTTAGGTCGATAACCTTCATAGCTTGGAAACATAATAGCACCTCTAAAAATTTACATCTTGGGTTGGTTAACCTTNTTTGGATAACTATGAAGTTTTTATTTTTAACATCAGATTTAATTGAGGGTAGAGATATCAAGTCCAAATATATAAACACAAATACAGAATTCATTCCTCAAACTAATTATATTAAAGTAGCTGAAGAGCCCGGCGTTGACTGTGGAATTAGGAAAAACTTTGGAAAAATATGTCAATTTTTTCAACCTGTGTTAACCCTGGGATACCTATGGGCTCCCACAAAAAGATTCAGCCAAGCCGTTTGACCAGCTGCACTGTAGCTAACATATACATGGCCAAAAGGTTTTTTATTTATAATTCTTGAAGCAATTATCACAACTTCGAGTCTTGGCATTTCCAAAATGGTGTCAGTCTTTTTTTGTGCATTCAAAATTACTTGTGAGATAAATAATACCTTTGGATTCATTAAAAATTGAAATCTGAACATAATTCTGAATATCTTCTGAAACCTTGAAAGCAAAAAATGCAAACAGCAGAATGAAAAATGATCTTCAATTCATCTCTCGACTGTCATGTTTCGTGGTACACCCTTTATATTCATGCTGAATAATTACGATGTATTATTAATCACTTTTCATATATGGCTAACGTAACGCAATCCCAAAAAAGAAATTATATCAACACTTGTTTTTTACTAGTTAATTCATTTTTTTTACCTTACTCTAGTGTGCTCTAGACCAAGGGAATGCCCTATCTCGTGTACAGCCACCTACCAAGAGGAACGTATTTGAATTAGATTTTCAAAAGAAGTATGTTGGAAAATAAGATTTAAAATGTCTACAACCTTTTTTTGACAATATTTTTAATAAAAATTAAATCCTTAATGTTTGAACTTGTGGCATGATATTTAGTTTACTATACCTGCGTCAAGTTAATACCAGCATATGAGCCAAGAGTCCAATTTTCATCATCATCGAAATGTATGTCGCCAGATATCTCCCCCTTCATAATTGAAACGAATAACTGCTAAAATTAGTTTTTAAGGAAAGCTTTAGTTATTTTTTCTACTTAACAAATATGTCAAATCAAACTTTTTTTAAAAAGAAATGTTTTTACATTTTATAAAACAATTGCAAATACACTTTGTTTAGATTTGTGGCCGCTATCCATCTTATTTTGATGTCGCCTATAAAAATCTACCTGTCCAGGAAAGAATGCATGAGCTAAAGTTCCTCCTTCTCTATCAAATGGATCTCCGTCTCCGTGCTCCCCTTTAAAAGAAAGGGGCAAGGGATTATTATGATGATAATATAGTTTTACAATTAAGGAAATAAATGATTAAAGGGACTGTATCGGAAAAATGAAAAGGGGTTTAGGCTGAAAGCTAATCACACTTGATCGCGACCCATGAAAGTTTTATCTGATGATTCTGTCTCGAGAAAGTGATATAAAACGGTGTCAAATTTATACGAAAATTTATATATATGATTTTGTATAGAAATGGTAGTTTAAACAGATCATTTTCAGCGAATACGCAACCAATCTGAAAACGAAGATATCTCAGAGAAACCTATTTGTATAACTTAGGTGTTCTCCAATTATTATTTTATAATTTTATTTTTATTTTAATAGATAAAATTGATAATATTATTTATAAGTCCATATGAACTCCCACCAATGGTAGTGCAGTATACTGGTCATTGTGGGGAGTCATGCTGCATATTTATAAATTTTCGTTAATATTTATAGCTTTCATGGGAGCTAAAGTGATTAGCTTTCAGACTATACCCCCTTTCATTTTTCCTTTACAGCCCCTTTAAGCAATAAATGTTCGTCTTAATTCTTTAGTAACTGTTATATAAAGTAGTGCACATTTGAATAAAAATTCTCTTTCCCCAAGAAGCGATTTAAAAAAAAGTTAACACACAAAGGCTAAGACATGGTTTTAATTTCATTTTCAGCCAAATAAAGAAAGAGTTTAGAGCAAAGCAGATGTTGATGATGTTATCAGTTGTGTAAACGATCAAGTTTTATTTATGGACAATTGGACATTCATGAACAAATTGGCCGAACTTTAGTAAGTTTTGTATAATTATGGAATATTAACGGCTTAAGTTTCATTTAATTTACAATCCATTGGTAAAACTGTTTCTTTAAAGCAACAAAAAATATACATGAAATTCTTTAAACGTCGTCTTTTTATTCCACAGCTGAATTCGCTTTCACTATGCAATTTTACAAATGTTTCGGATCTCCTGTTGTGTCGAATATTGATTACCTGACTCAAACAAAATTCTAATATCTGTAGGATCTGTCTCCTGTTCTTCAAGAAAGGTTAAATCTGCATTGGCAGACCAAACACTAAAAATTGCAAGTAAAAAAAAAACAAAAAATCGAACTTATACATCTCAGACTATTGCTGCTGCTGGGAAAGAAGTGAGCCAAGGGGCCGAGTAATATAGACATTTGTTTGCGTTTGTTCTGGAATATACACTACACAGTCGAGAATGAACCATGCTATACTACCAAAAAAAAGAAACACTTCTATTATATATTATAATCACAATTGTAATCATAGCCCTCTTGTGCTTTTTCAAAAATATCCAAATTTTCGAATTTTATTCCAGTTTTTATATATTTGATACAACAGATACTAATAATATTCGGACTTATCCTTAATTTTTTAAAAAATTGTCTAAATTTTGAAAATCTGTTAAGTCGTAGCATCTTATCTTATTTAAACAACGCAATCAAATTTAAGTAAATTTCACCTTAAATTGAAATCTATTATGTTTTCAATCATAACTCAGTTTAGTCCTTTTCTAAAGCGAGATGTTTGAATTTCTAAAATGTAACCGGATATAGAAATTGAGTCTTTGTAACAAACCCTGATATTCTAATGCCTATTACTTTTCAACCCAATGTCGTATAACTAAGATATTTCAAACAATGAATTATGTAAGATACAAATCTAAGATTGAAATAACAACAGTCTATATACCCCATCAGGTTGCAAAGATAAAGGGATTTAAATATTTGAGTTTGTGTCAAAGATTCAATTTCTTTGCTGTTCCCATTCTTGTGATTGAATTGAAACTAGAGGGGCTACGAGTTCAGAATGTTGTACCAGTAAAATTACATACATTTAACTTTCCTTTTCTGTGTGTTTTGCAGTGTTCGTTTTTTTAAAATCTTTTAAGCTTAGGGTTAATTTTGATCCTAATTCCCATGTTAAAGGGAGTGTTCGCGAAAAATGAAAGGGGGTATAGGCTTAATGCGATAAAAAAGCGCTTTTGATTTCCACTAATTTTACTTCTATTTGTTGCGTCTATAAGGAAAAAATTCAGAAAGATGCAACATACGACTTAGACCGTAAAAAAATCAATTTAATTTCAAACAAATCATTCAAATATTACAACCTATAGTCATCGATTATCTTTCGCCACATTTGTATATAGTTGATTTTTCATAATATGTTTTGATTGTTATGATCTGAGAGTTACTTATGAAAACATTTATTCCTGTTTCGAGGATTTTTGGTAATGAAGACGACATTTTAATATTTTCCAGGAATGTTTGAAAACAAGTTGTAAGCTGAATATTATTTTAAAAAATAAAATCAAAACATATTATGAAAAATCAACTATATACAAATGTGGCGAAAGATAATCGATGACTATAGGTTGTTCTATCTGAATGATTTGTTTGAAACTAAATTGATTTTTTTACGGTCTAAGTCGTATGTTGCATCTTTCTGAATTTGTATGGACCCTACATACTTTGGTAATAGTCGTTTTTAACAATTTTCTCCTTATAGTCGCAACAGATAGAAGTTAGATTATTAGCGATCAAAAGCGCTTTTTATCGCATTAAGCCTATACCCCCTTTCATTTTTCGCGAACACTCCCTTTAAGGTTAATTTTGATCCTAATTCCCATGTTAAGATAAGAGACGTTTATACCTGAAAGCTCGTTGTAGTGTACTTCTTACCCTTTCAGGGCCAATATCATTGCTGGGGTGCTAAAAAACATCTATACATAAATTCATTCACTTTTAAAATATAGAGAAAACAAATGTTAAATAATAAAGAAAAAGGAACAAAATATATATATATGTCATGTATAGTTGAGACTGAGAGACCTCTCTGGATACACTATTAGATAATGATGGCAAACCTTAAAATTGTATTCCTCTGTGTTTCTATTATTAGTTAGTCCGTGGCTATCGTATTCAAATATAATTGCTATAAGAGAAATTATTTGAGTAACAACATTTTTACCTTAAAAACTCTCCAAGTTAAGATTTTTTTACTCCATCTGAAAATGTAAGTTAAAATGTTATTTATTAAAAATTAATCAACAAGAATGAATCAATTGATTAATGTATTTAAAGTTATAATTCAGTAAATAATTTATCACCTTCTACCTTTATGTAGTTTTCGATGGGCAAAGATAAAAATGATTAGTAGTACAAAGCAAGATTGCAAGAAGTTTGAGATATGTCTGTAGTAAAATTCATAATTGTTTAAAACCATATTTATACAAGTTACAAGTTTCGTTTTATAAAAAAAAAGTTATCGTTCTATATTTGAGATGTTCTGATTTAAGAACATGTTAAAAATTGCAAAACTATAAAAGCTGCATACAAGTCTTTTGCTATTAAAAAAAGTTCCGTTCATTTCTTGAAATGTGTTCGCACAAAATATTACTGAGTTGTTAAAAAAGTCCAAAATACCCTTTTTATGACACCAATTAAAAAGTATTTTTTTTTGTGTAAATGATCTGTGTCTTCCAAAATGAAAATCTTTGAATGATTCAATTTTATCTCTGTTCCTAAATTATAGTTTGCCCCAGTAGATTCCTCTCCACGAATCAGATCACTGTTGGTACAGCGGGGTTCCTGAATATGAGATGCGGCCGTTAAATATACAGCATCAAACAAACATAAGATTGGTTGAATGTTTACTTTCTATTTCACAACATAATATTATGGGTCTCTTTGTAAATAAAATACATTAAACATGGAGTCTCTGAAAAAAGAGTGTTTACTTTTTCGCCCAATTAACGTCGTGTTATTGTTTTCTCGGTATAGGTAAAATGTCGTTAAATAGGGGGGGGGGTGAGGGGAAGGGTTGGCATAGAAATATTTTGCTCCAAAAGGCCGTTTTAATCTTCAAAATTAGACCTAATACTAAGAAATGAGCTTGGTCTCTTTTCCAAAGATTTATAAAAAAATCGGATTTTAAAATAAATGATGATTGATTTTTGTTGTAGATAATTTTTTTTGAAAGGGAAAGGGACCTCGTGTAAATTTCAAGTACATTTTGAAAGTTAAAACAGCCTTTTTAGAGCAGCATGTTTCATTAACGAAACAAACACATTTTCAACCACTTTTTTACAATAATACGGCGTTTAGTGAGTGGAAAATATATTTAAAATCTTCTGAGAAAGGACTGAGCACATTTTTGAATATTAGGCCTACTTTTGAAGGTAAACAACGGCATTTCAGAGCAAAATGTTGAACCTACTAAAAGCAATTTTTAGTACAAAAACAACGTTTAGTAATCGAAAATAGACACCCTTGAAATTACAAGCATGGAGTAAAAATATGAAATTTAGTTCCTAGCATTCCTATAGTTCATAGAAGAACATGGCTAAATTTCCATTGGTTAATCTCTCCAAATTACAGCTAGGGGGTTCTTTTTGTGATACGTGTCTAAAATATATATATAACCCCCCTGAATACACATTTGCTTGCAATCTTTGAATCAGTGTGAGGTTTAAAGAAAAAATACCTTTATTAATGAAATGGTCGGTTCATCAATTTCTCCTGTATTCTCAATTCCATAAAATTGTTGAAATAACCGTACCGCAGCGATGTACTCTTCCTAGGATTAGATTTTATTTGGGGCGCCACGCACAGGCAATATTGAGTTTACACAATAAGCCTCTTATTCAAGTCAACTAAGGTTTGGCCGCTTAAAACTTTTTTCTTGAGATAAATTCCTGAGTCGTAGTTATGTTGCTGAAATCTGACGGAAAACTGGTTATTTCCTTAAAAACACTTAAAATAGGTATTTCATCCGCAATATTGCAGATTTCCAAGATCCATTCATGGATAAATATACGAACGGGAAAAGTAATTAAATTGAAATCATTATAAATCAATGCAAGGTACAACTGATGCAATGTTTGTGAATGAAAAGATTTCAGAATAATTTAAATTGTCTCATCATGGAACACAAGGCATATGCATTTAAAGGGAAGATTTAGACAAAAACCAGTCAGCACCCCCTAAAATATCCCACTGTGCTACGTTTGAGACTAGGGGTGCTAAATAAAAAAACATTCCACATTAAAAAATGTATATGAAATCTAAATTATCGCTTGCTAAGGAAGTGTGACTTAATTAGATAAACTACATTTATCGCTAGGGCCATTTATGAATGTACATCTAATTAGAAAGCAAATGCAAACCATGATTACTCCCATCAACCTCTAATTTTCTTATTCTTAAACATTAAAATTTATGTCGTAACCAACCAGTTCTAGTGTGCGTTATAGATTTTTGTGTAAAATTATACCTTTATAAGCGTATTGTTGCTTATAAGTTGACTGACAGATAAATCAATGTCGTCAGTTTTATCTAGATATCCATGTCGAGCTAGAAACCTAAAAAAATATGCAGGGTGGAATGATTGAAGGGTGAATTCAATTAAATTTTTTCCCACTTCTACAAGGGGGGGGGGCGTTAAGGCCTGACATCCCCAGAAATATAAATTTTACTGATCCAGGCTATAAGTCCTCATAGCCCCTGCCATGGATAATCATTCATGAAATAAGTGATTAGTTTATAAATTATTAAATGGGATAAAAGTGAATTACTTTAAGACTTTTCTTTGCAGGGTTTGTTGATCTTTATCCTCTTCCATTATATTAATTCTGAAATTCAAGTTTTAGATATTCTTAATTCGTTAACCTCTGAAAATATACAGATTTTTGAAAACTACCCTCCTCAGTTTGTCTTTCAACGTTATTTAAAATATGAATTTGATTTTTTTCAGAAATAAGGATGGAGGTTTCCAATAAAAGTAGGAATATGAAGAAACGGATGGGACTATAGGTGTCCCATATGGGACTATAGGTGTCCCATATGTTATTTTATATTTTTTTTCCAAATTATGTTTCTTATTTGTAAGAAATACAAAGGAACCGAGTTTTTTCCAACAAATCTTTGCAATCCAACTCTAGATCAAATAGTTTAAGTTTGAAATATGAAAGGTTTACACCATCAGATTGAAAAGATACAGGCATTTGTAAATTCGGGTTTGTGACAAAAACTAAAATTTACTATATAAAAAATTAAAATTTAAAACTTTTGCACTATTTTCTTTTTTCTATCTATACTTAACATCCTTGCAATCGATTTTGCCATTCCCTTGAAGCTTATAAAAAAAACATGACATTGTCCCTTTTCAACCTTTTCTTTTAAAAATGATGACGTGAAACTCATCTGTTAAGTATGGAATGAATAGGATATTTCTTGCTAGAATCTCTGTTGCAGAAATGGTGCTATGGAAAAGCCTCAACGTGGAAACGGACCCAAAAGTGAGTTTGGGTTCCTTCTTTTTTTCAAGAATTATCGGAAATCCCTCAAAAACTGAAAAGTGTTGAGGGATTTCCGAATATTTTGGATCGGTTTCCGCTATATTTACATTTGACTCATTTCCTGTTTATTTTGGGTCCGTTTCTTCTTTTTTTGGGTTAATTTCCGATTTTCAAAAAATGGTTTAAATCCTCAGTTTGTTGATCGGTTTCCTCTTTTTTTGGGTACGTTTAAACGTTTAATCTTTTTTTGGGCCCGTTTCCGGTTTTCAAAAAAAACTTTAAATTTGATCAGTTTGTTAATCGGTTTCCTCTTTTTTTTGGGTCCGTTTCCTCATTTTTTGGGTGCATTTCCGGTTTTTAAAAAAGTTTCAAATTCTTAGTTTGTTGATCGGTTTCCTCTTTATTTTTTGGGTCGATTTTCTCTTTTTTTGGTCCATTTCCGGTTTTCAAAAAAGTTATTAATTCTCAGTTTGTTGATCAGTTTCCTCTTTTTTTCAATCCATTAAGTAAAGAAATGCCAATCAAATCATTTATGTATATATAAATAGTATAATTCTTTTTGAATGATAGTAAAATGTGGAAACTGAGAGGAGAATTTAAAAGATATTAAAGAACTGACCTTAAATATGAGGAAACGGGTCAAAAAAAGAGGAAAACGATCAACAAACTGAGAATCTACAACTTTTTCTGAAAACGGGAAAAGGACCCAAAAATGAGGAAACGAATCGAAAAAAAGAGGAAACTGATCAACAAACTGAGAATTAGAAATTGTTTTTGAAAACTGGAAATTGACCCAAAAATAGAGGAAACGAACCCAAAAAGAGGAAACTAATCAACAAACTGAGAATTTAAAACTTTTTTTGAAAACCGGAAACAGACCCAAAAAAATAGGAAACCGATCAACAAACTGAGAATTTAAAACTTTTTTTGAAAACCAGAAACGGACCCTAAAAATGAGGTTATTTGCCATTTTCTGTTGTGCGTACATACCCCGTAAAATTCCAAAACAGAGAGAGGGGGATTGAATTTTGTAGATCCAGAAAAATAATTCAATTAGTATTTATTTAGGATTAGGTTAGGTTAAGACACTTTCTGGGCCAAGCGCTGTGGCTAGGACAGCTAGGGGGCCAAGCGCTGAAGCCAGGGGTTAGGTTAAGTTATGACACTTTTTGGGCCGAGCGCTGCGGCTAGGACAGGCTAGGGGGCTGAGCGCTGCGGCCACATGTCTTACATTTAAGACCCCACCAGCTGCCAGTCTCTACGCAGGCATCCCACAGATATTGTTTTCTGGATCTACAAAATTCAATCCCCTTCTCTCTGTTTGGGAATTGGCATGTGCGCACAACAGAAAATGGCAAATGCCAAAAATGAGGAAACGGACCCAAAAAAAGAGGAAACCGATCAACAAACAGCGAATTTAAAACTTTTTTGAAAACCGGAAATGGACTAAAAACTGAGGAATCTGACCCTAAAAAAAGGGGAAACCAATCAAACTCAGAATTTAAAGCTTTTTTGAAAACCGGACACGGACCCAAAAAATTAGGAATCTGACCGAAAAAAGGGGAAACCGATCAACAAACTGAGAATTTAAAACTTTTTTTGAAAACCGGAAACGGTCCAAAAAATGAGGAAGCGGATCGAAAATATTGGGAAATCCCTCAAAAATATTGAGAAATCCCTCAAAAATTAAAGACCTGTATAAACCGGAATCTGACCTAAAAATCGGGGAAACGGATTTAAAAAACAGGAAATTCCTCTAAAAATTAGATTTGAGGGATTTCCGATAATATTTGAAAAAACAGGGAACGATTCAAAAAAATTCATTTTGGGGAGGTTTCCGTTTTTTTGGGTCCGATTCCGTGTTGAAGCGTTTCCGTGTTGAGGCGTTTCCATAGCACCGCAGAAATGTGTTCCTCCTAGAGGGGATGATAGTTCTCTACCTGTGTCCTCAGTTAGCTGAACTGTACACACTGCTTTGCAGACCAGTACTTTAAACTAACTTTGGTACAGACACACAACATGATTACAGTCAAGAAAATTGCAGAACAATGTCGTCAATTATAATTAAGCTTGAATAACGAGTAGTTTATTGAAACTTTAATCAAATTATATTCTTTGAGTGAAAATTTGGCTTTATAGTGTTGACTTAAATGTATAAATATTATGCTACATGTATATTTAACTTATTTTTAAGTAAACAATTAACAATAAACAAATGTACCCTCCTAGACTGTACTCACTGTACAAATACCGAGATTCATACGTACTCGATATACCTACAGTACACACCTTTGGTACTTTAAACTAACACACTCTTTTGGTACAGAAAATTCTAGATTTTTCGAGTATTATGTGCGTTTTTTTGGCGTTAAAGATTGTAGATAATCTAATATGATATGGTACGTTCTGTGTGTGAATTACAAAGCTACCTGAGCCCGAAACTTAAGAGTGTCATAATGAAACATGAACATGGCTGAACAGTTTTATAGATACCTCTATGTTTGCCAAGAAATATTATTTCATGGGCTTTATTCTGATTTCTTAAAGGGAGTGTTCGCGAAAAATGAAAGGGGGTATAGGCTTAATGCGATAAAAAAGCGCTTTTGATCGCCACTAATCTTACTTCTATCTGTTGCGTCTATAAGGAGAAAATTGTTAACGACGTCTCATACCGAATAACATGGCGTCCATACAAATTGAGAAAATTGCAACATACGACTTAGACCGTAAAAAATAAATTTGATTTCAAACAAATCATTCAGATATTACAACCTATAGTCATCGATTATCTTTCGCCACATTTATATATAGTTGATTTTTCATAATATGTTTTAATTGTTATGATCTGAGAGTTACTTATAAAAACGTTTATTCCTGTTTCGAGGATTTTTGGTAATGAAGACGACATTTTCATATTTTCCAGGAATGTTCGAAAACAAGTTGTAAGCTAAATATTATTTTAAAAAATGAAATCAAAACATATTATGAAATATCAAATATATACAAATGTGGCGAAACATAATCGATGACTATAGGTTGTAATATCTGAATGATTTGTTTGATATTAATTTGATTTTTTTACGGTCTAAGTCGTATGCTCCAACTTCCTCAATTTGTATGGACAGTACGTTCTTCGGTATGAGACGTCTTTATCAATTTTCTCCTTATAGACGCAACAGATAGAAGTAAGATTAGTAGCGATCAAAAACGCTTTTTTATCGCATTAAGCCTATACCCCCTTTCATTTTTTGCGAACACTCCCTTTAAATTAAAATAAACGCAAAAGAATTTAGACCTTTAAAAAAACTTTCGTTCAACGATATTCTCTTAAATTTTCGGCTATGGGTATACAGATTAGCCTAAAATTTGAAGGAATTTGTAAAGATTTTTTCACTGGTAGTTATGATTTCCTGCAACTTAAATAGATCGCTTATATATTGTATTATACTCTCTGTTTTCTTATATTCACGATTCCCAAATCATTAAATAAGCAACTAAAAGATTACATTTAAGGCAGAAGACTTAATTTATCCTCATATTATATGAGATTCAGGTCGTCTTTACAGTCTTATCCTTTGAGGGTATCCCCTGGGTAACCCTGTATATGAGAGCACTATACAAAGTTGACTGTTCTATCTATATACCGACCTACCTACCTATCTATCTATCTATCTAGATTTTCTTTGAACCGTATCAGCCCTAGCAACCACGCTAAACAACCCCTCGGGCTTTCCGCGTAAACCTTGTAATGAAATATGGTTCGAATACAGGGTATTCCAATAAACATAAAAAGCTACATCTTTCGTCGGCATATACACGAAATCGGTAATTTTCACAATTGGCTGCGATTCTTTGGATTTCTTAATTTTTGTTTGCCATGCCCTTTTTGTACCTATACGTACTCAATACAAAAATGCTTCCACATTTCCGGATATCCAAAAATTCGATCGTAAATAGGGTGTTCAGCATTAGATTAGATAAAAATTTACAGTAGATTACATATTTAAGTAAAAACTATTTTATGTAAACGCATTTACCCCAACAAATTTTGAGGCATCTTTTTTTCTGATATCTTTCGTTTACTGGTAAAACATTCGCTTATCTTTTTCGGAGAATTTTAACTTTAAAAAGCAAGCTGCTTTAACCCTTTTTATCCTAGGGGGGGGGGGGAATTTGAACCCCCCTAAAGTTTTATAAGATAGCTGAAAAAGTATTTGAGCTAGGAAGCCTACATTTTCTGACTTTTCTAACCAACACATGCCCATGCACAAGGCTAAAAGCTGGGCTTTTTTACCTACTACGTGAATCCTCAGGCATACTGCCTAAATGTCTTTTTTACCTATGCCAGACTAAATCTATTATTAGACCTACTTCCAGTCATTATTCGCTAAGGCCTTTTTCTTAGGGGGGGGGGGGGGCGGGGGACGCCCCTCTGTTTATACAAAGATTCGGAACATAATCAACAATCTAAAGGTTGAATTTAGTTGATATGCTGGTTCATGTTGATATACTGGTCCAGGTTGTACTGTTGGTCCAGGTTGATATCCTGGTCCTGGTTGATATGTTGGTTTAGATTGATATGTTGGTCCAGGTTGATATGTTGGTTCAAGTTGTACTGTTGGTCCAGGTTGATATCCTGGTCCAGGTTGATATGTTGGTTCAGGATGATATGTTGGTTCAGGATATGTTGATTCAGGTTGATATGCTAGTCCAGGTTCATATGTTGGTTCAGGATGATATGTTGGTTCAGGATGATATGTTTGTTCAGATTGATATGCTGGTTCAGGTTGATATGCTGGTTTAGATTGTTATGTTTGTCCAGGTTGATATGTTGGTTCAGGTTGTAATGTTGGTCCAGGTTGATATGCTGGTCCAAGTTGATATGTTGGTTCAAGATGATATGTTGGTTCAAGTTGATGTGTGGGTTGAGGTTGATATATAAGTTAAGGTTGGTATCCGGAGCCAGAAGGATATTCTTGGCCCGTCAAAAATCCTTGTCCCTCCTTGACTCCAAAATATCCTGAAAAAAGTTAATTATAGCAGAATATTTTCCTGCTTCATAGTTTAATATCTCTATTATTAGCTTCTTTAAACACTTTTGAAGGGGTCAATAAATGTATAAGGAGCCAATTTTGCGTAGAAAAACGCTTGTCGCTCAAACAAAAAGCAAAATTGAAACACAAACTAGATGGGGTCTGTCCAAGTCCGTCGATTTTTGGACCCCCCGCCCTCCATCCATTTTTTACATGATCACTTATTTTTCAGCAAAGATATTATTATTTATCTTTTATTAATTTTGGGTTAGGTTAGGTTAAGAAAATTTCTGGGCCGAGCGGTACGGCTAAGACAGGCTAGGGGGGCTGAGCGCTGGTGGCCAGGACAGTTTTTCAATTTTAACAATGTTCAACAAAATTAGTTGGGTCCGTTTCANGTCGTTCTCTAGGAAATGACCTCATTCTGTATATCTACTATTTGTTTCATTGAATCACTGTACTATAATATTTACTTTATGTTTGTCCCGACAAATTCGACTAATGTCCTTCAATGTCAAATAAAATAAAAATATATATATAACTTCGATTGTCTGACTGTCGGACATTCAGCTGAGGTTTGACATCGAAGTATTTGGCGAATTTTCTTCTTGGGATATATTTATCATTAAAAACGTGACAATCTTCTTATAAGATTTTATTCATAAACACCATGTTTTATGAGTTATGCAATAATTAACCCTTTTCCTGCTAAAATTTAAGATTTTAGTATTAGTACAGTTTTTTTCATGGATTCGGTATTGTTAAAGTAATATGGGGTTTAGTTCTGACAATATTAGAGTCCGGGTGTCTTACTTATACTGTTCGAATCACTTTTATGATATCGTAAATTCAAGGCTAAAAGGGACCTGTTTTCTTTAGTTTTGAATTTGAAGACAGTGATCTTTAAGAGGAGAATGGATGGACGTTCTTGAGATAGTTCGAATTCTCAAGATTGATATTCTCTTCCTTCAGTAACCGGGGATTACAAGACCCGTATAAACGATGATTTCAAGGTAGTAAAATAGTAGTTTTATGATGATGATTCATCAGGATTCTCCTGACGAAACACCTTTGGTATGCAACAAAACATTTTAACATTCTCATTGTGTAATTGATGTTTTTAGGTTTTTACTATGCTTTTCTGTACTCACTGGTCATTGGTTATTTAGCGGATTTGTGCAAACTTAAAACTTGAAAAGATGAATTCTCCAAAAATTGTTCTGTAGGAAATTATCCATTTTCAATTTGTTTTTAACCTATTTTTTTTAACCATCCATTTTGTTTTATTCCAGGATCTCTCTTCAACTTTTCTGGAGTGCAAAAGATAAATCGATTGGCTTGTGCAAATTGATACTTATTCTAAGACAAAGTTCCCAACCTGTGAATATAAGATATACTATTTGATAATTATGTATTCCTAATTTAAATGCAATACTTATTTTGTAAATTGTATGCTGAATTGATTGTGAATAAGTGGTCTATATTACAGTGAATCCTTGAATGGATCCTGTAAACCCGCAATATATTTAGATCTCGTCTTTGTTACAACAAGAGAAAAGAACAGAGAAGAAAAACCAACCAAACTAAAAATGTCCAAATTAATTTTGTTGGCTCATCAATAAAGAGATTTTTCAAACTATACTTTCATTTACACATTTGTCTTGTATATTTCTGTGTTTGTGTGTTTGGACTTGAGAAATTTTCATTTTTGGAATCTCTTTTGGATATTTTAATTTTTAAAAGGGTCATGAAAAAAAAGTCGACATTTATTACTATTGAAAATGTACCAATTTAAACAAAAAACGACAAAAAAACGACATTCAATAAAGTATGACTGTAATTTTTTTTCCAAAAACGACCGTGTTCATAAAGTTCGTCATTAACGACCCATCATGAACGATGGTTAACATAATTGTCAATAACATTTTTTTTTAAACTATCGTTTTTTCAAAAGCAATCGTTTTAAAAAAACAATAGTATAAAAAACGGTCCCAAATCGTTTTAAAAAAACGATTTGGGACCGTTAGTTGTTTTGAAAAATTTTTCCCAAAAACGAAACGATCGTTTTTGAAAACGATTGAAAAACTAAACAGTATTTTCAAAAACGATTAACAACCCTACCTGTACCCTACCCTATGCATTAAAGAAAAATTTGCAGAAAAATCCATTAGATGAACTAGTCATTAAACTAGTCACAAAATTTCACGGTAATAGTGACAAAAATGAGAGTGCTAGGACAAAAAAAACTATAGGGCCGGCCAAGCCTGTTCAGGGTTAAAAGCTAAGATGGGAGAAGCCTAGTTTTTATTAACTTCTTTAAATAAATTAGTGAAAAAAAATACTCTACAGATTGACCCCAAGAAGTAAAACGTATTCAATGACCTTTTAAAACGACGAGTTCATGATGAACAATGGATTGTACAATTTTCAGCTTTACAGTCTGTATCAGGATATCAAAGATTTACATCATCAAGTTGCAAAGTTATAGGAATTAGAAAATTTGAGTTTGGGACAAAAACTCAATTCCTTTATTGATAACAATAGAGCTTAAAAAAATTGTTAGAATAAATATATATATATATGTGTGTAATATGTATGTACACATATATGGTAGATATGGTGCTTTATAACTGTATTGGTATAATATTGTTGTATAATTTTATAAAAGATAAGTTTGAACAATTTGGAAACACTCCTCCTTGTAATCAGTAGCTAATGGATTATATTGTGCAACGGTGTTCTTTGTATACCCTATATAAAACAATACTAACTTTATAATTCTCCATTATACATTAGGATATCTTAGCATCTTATCATCTAGCATACTTATTACTTTGAGAAAGTCAGATTTATTCGCGCCCATTCTTTACGGTTGTAATGATTAAAGCATTTTCAATTGATTACTTTTCGAGATAAAGTATTTGCTCCCTCTGTTTAGGGCATGTACAAATGTCTTTCTTTGTTTCATAAACCCCCTTAATATTCTCTTCATATATATCTCTCAGAGTATGAATAAATGGGATTACTCAGCTTTTTAGTTTGTTGGTCTAAATACGTCTGTTTAAGGTTATCCTTGTTGGTATCGGAGAAACAGTGGTTCAGCTGCTCCAGTTCCATATCTATCTAGTCAGCTTCCTCAACACGATAACTTGTTTAGGGAAGACCTTATGTCACGGCTCCCGGAAGACAAAAAAAGCTAATATATGACATGGAAGGGGAAAATGTTGTGGCTTATGGCCGCCTGCCTTCCCCCGCTCCACTAAACTTAGGGATTAATAATTCAATTCAAATTCATTAAATGTGTATGAGATATTCTTTGAATAATGTTGTTACCATGTAGTAGTTACACCTGTTCATACCCTCTATACACTATACAGTCTTCTTTAATCATGCAACAGATAAACTAGTTCATAATAAATTAATGCAATCAACAAAGCAAAAAAACGACCTTTCCTCATGTAAACAAACAGCTTTAGCATTTATTTGTAAATGTTTGTTAAAATGTCTTAACATGAAGAAAATACAAGATAAAAAGGAAAGTGATCATTTTAAGTAACGCTCTTGTTAGATATTCAATCAATGATTCGCTATTGTAAACATTGATAAATGGAGTTTTAAGGTACAAGGTGTCCCACAAAGCATGACACAAGCTAGCCAGACTAATTTAAGGTCGTCTTTGATCTTTTAAATAATTTGCAGTATTTATTTGTAAGCCTAATTTTAGAAGTAAAATTCTAGAGTTAATAATCACAAAATACCCCTAGACTTGGCATTTCCAATAATAATATTTAATAACATTTAAATCTGAACGAAATTCTTAATATCTCCGGTAAAATTGCACGAAAAACTCAGACCACATCTTGGAAATACCAGGACTAGGAGAATTTTTTGGTTATTGTTTTAAGAATTATTCATTTAATAATAGGTTAACGACTGAATGTCACAAATAAATCTAAAGTTCATAGACGACATTCGATCAAATCATCTTGCTACTGTCATGTTTAGTTGGTCTCCATGTAACTGTATGTCAATTATTCCTCTGCAGTTTAATAATATCCATATGTCCTTATTATGAAAAGCTAATTCCGACCATTGTAAATGTTCAGATAGAAAAGTGTGTACGTATTCAATTTTATCGATGTGACCTAGATAAAAGTTTAAGTGGGTGTCAAATGCTGTTTTGACACATGTAGATATTGTTTGACATACTATGAGTGAAAATGAGAATCATATCCAGATTAATTTGTTTGAAGAGCTCTAGTAATTACATTTTTATACAAGTACAATAGTTGTATCAATGTTGTTGTATTGCATGAATCAAGAGAAATGTCTAAATTTAACTTTTATACGTGAATATCATAAGGGGTCTTTTTGACGTAAAGATTACCTCTAAATGAAAAGTTTTTTTACGGCAATTAAGCAAAACTCCTAAATCTCTTTCAACCTTTATGTATAGATTTTGTTGTTCAAATTGTAACCACATTAAGAATGTAAAAATAATTGAAATTCTAATTCATTAATTTTTCAGATATCTGGGTAAAACATGGAGTATGATTACTTAATCAAGGAACAAGAATTAAAATATATCAAAAACTTACTATTTTAATTTCTAATACGTTAACATTTTTAAATGAGGTAGCGAAAAGCATAGATACTCTTTTAAAACTAAAACTGCTACTTAACGTCCATTCATAATCTCAAATCATCGTTCAAACGTTAACTATTTGATCTAGCATATACAGGGGGGTCAGAGTTTTAACACGTCAAATAAAAGTAAAGTATTCGAGTTTTTGCTAAATCCTAAAATTTTCTAATATTCATATCTTTGCAAACTGATGGAGTAAACCATTGATATTTTAAACATAATTCATGGTCTACGACATTGGGTTGCAGAGATGTAAGGATTAGAAAATCAGAGTTTGTGGAAAAGACTCAATTTCTTTCTTGTTAGATTCGGATAAGATGTGTTTTCAATTTATACTCATATTTTTGAAGAGCCATTGAGAAGAAAAAAATTGCTTTAGTTTCTACAGTGAAACCCTTAATAACGAATACATCGGAAGAATTTATCAAATGTCGTCTTGACAATTTTTCATGAGTTTTATACTATATTACGTTAATTTCAGTATTTGCGAAAATAAATAAATAGCCATGAATATGCAGGAACAGTTTTAAAGAGTTCCATATAATCATTTAATTAAAAAACTAAATATCTGCAACATTCCATTATCAGAAAGTGAAGAATACGACATTTGATGAATTCTTTCGATGTATTCGTTATTAAGGGTTTCACTGTGCTATAGAACAAAATCAAGAAACTTTTCTTATATTTTCTAATCCCTATTCTATCCTAAAGCGCGAACTAAGTCTATTTGATTTTATAGAATTCATAGTTTGAAATATTAAAGGTCAGAGTTTGTGGCAAAATCTCAGTTTTCTGATTCATCAAACTAAAGTAAAATTTAAATCTTATATGTTTTCAATCATAACTTCTTTTTATTGAAGAGTCCTTGGTAGAGATCAACGACATCTGTTAGCAATCCTTTTGCTTAAAACTAATTTTTCTCAGATCTGGAATTATGAAACTATGAGTTTAAAGTTTTAACACTTTTTAGTCAGATGTCTGGTTTTATGACTTGCTGCCTGGGGGGGGGGGGGTCAAATTAAAGCCCCCCTCATTTTCTTACTTTGATACTACTCTATAACATTTGATACCTTTTTTAGAAAGACCTTGGGCTCTGAAAAAACGGTTTTGCAAAAATCCAAATATTACTGCAAAATCTAGTTATCAAGCAAAAATGTGCAAGAAGAAATTATGCAAATTACAACAAATCATACATTTTGAAAAGCCATTGACACAGCGAATTAAAATGTGCAAAAACATTGGCAAAATTTTTAAAACATAAATGTGTATTCAAGGAAAACTGAAAATGTGCAAATTCCATTTCAAGGCATTTAGGCAGTAGATGTAAAACCCCAGCCTTTAGCCTTAAGTGAGGGCATGTGTTAGTTAGAAAAGCCAGAAAATTTGAGCTCCCTAGCTCAAAACTTTCTGAGTTATTCCAATGGGTTTTTTTTGCCTGAATTTTTTGTTTAATGGGAAGTTTTAGCACTTTTGGTAGGATTATCTTCTTTAGTATATCTTTATAATTAAAAAAAAATTATGTGTGCAATAGTTCTTAGCACTGGGTAATTCTGGAGCCGGGAAGTCAAGTATTCTTCATAGATATACAGAGAACCAGTTTAACCCCAGGTATTCTTCATAGATAAACAGAGAACCAGTTTAACCCCAGGTATTCTTCATAGATATACAGAGAACCAGTTTAACCCCAGGTATTCTTCATTGATATACAGAGAACCAGTTTATCCCCAGGTAAAATATTGTTCCCACAAGTACTTACGTTTTTTGGGAAATAAAATAAGAAAATATTATTTTTTAACAAATGATAATATTGAAGCTGCAGAGAGCTAATAATTCTAAATCAAGCCTGCATAAAAAATTATTAAAATTAGCCAGCCATCTCGGAAACATCGTTTTTTTGGTGTGACTCTTTACAAAATTTCTTTTTTTTCTTTTCATTAGATGCAAAGCAGGTGAGACCTAAAATTCTTTATCAATCGTAGTCAAACATTTAGCCAGAAAAGCAAACTGTAGAATGTAGAATGTAGATTGATTTCCCAAAAAAATCTTATCTTTTTGAGAATTTACCGTATTCTGTTTATACAGCCATGTGCACCTGCAAATACGCACGTTTATTGGACACAAACAAACAAACAAAAACCAACGGACAAGCAAAAAATATTAATCTAAAGATTAATCTCTATATCTTGCTAAAATTATCATTCAAATATTTGAACAACTTTATTACGTGTTCTACTAATACGTAATCTCTTCTATAATCCCCCTCTCATGAACCTACCCCCCCCCCTTCTCAGAAACCTTTCCCCAAATTTATCATCACCAACCCCCCCTCTCCCCTTTTACTTCAGGCTCTGAAGATAATCCTGTCCCCGGTCAGCTCGTTAAAAGACGCCGCTATTGAATGGTTTTAAGTAAGAAAGTTGGGATATCAGTGTAGGAAATTTGAAATAATATCTAGGGTCGGTCAACTTACTCAAACTATCGTTCTATCCTCCTTCCCAGCTCAATCAGTTTATACTTAACCTTTCTTGCGTCAATATGAATATTAGTTTTCTTTTCCTACTTTTTAAACTTAGTTGGGCACTGGAAGGCAATTTTTGCAGGGAATTTAGTGGGTACAGCGAAAGAACTGATTTGAAAGAAGAAACCAACGACTGCATTTCTCACTTAGAGACTGTATGCAAAAAAGAACGAATAATTGAGTGCATGGAAGTGTGTGAAAATCAGTGTGATGTAAAATTTACAAAAGTGTGTAAACTGGAACAGATAAAAATCCTTGGAGTTGAATCCAGGTTAATAGAAAAGAAGAAGTTTCTTCATAACTGCTTAATGAAGGAGAGAAAAGAGCTCATAACATTTACTGTGTACAACTGCGAAAATAAAACTGTGACTGAATGCGCCACACTTTGGAATAACAATAAATGGGTTGAGATCGATGGAAATTGCAATAATTTTACTCACACTGAGTGTGAGCCCATCATAAAAAATATCTCAATATCTGTTCCGCTCATTACATGTTCTAAATACCCTGTAAAATACCTGGAGTTAGTGAATACGACTTTTTTTATGCCATCTTTTTCTTCGACATGTAAGGTTACTCCCATTAGCTCATGTAAAAAAGTAAACAGAACTAGATGTGCCACCATCTTGATTGAAAAATGCACCAATGCACCAGTTACAAGATGCAAACCGGTTTCATTTTTCCGTCCAAACCAGCACTTATTCCATATGCAGTGGTGCCAATATGATCCAAATGCAAATCTTAATGTGACAAATGGTGGAAGAATAATCAATTTTCAAGAAGAAATTAAAGAAAATAAACTATCAGAGGTCAAAGAACCTAGAAATTCGATACATCCGGTGCCCGAGCAAGAATCAGTCATTCTGGTTATTAAAGAGGTAGATACATTTAATTCTTTTTAGAAAAAATCTTTTAACATTTACCCAATTGTTTTTTATTTATCGAGTTATTAAATGGATAATTTTTATTTTTCACCAATTTTTGCAAATTGTTAGCATCATCGCAATTATTTTGTCTGTGCAAATTTATAAATGATCCGAATAAAAAACTAATTGTATTTAGAAAAGATGGAGAGAAATGCAGAAACTGCTGAAAAAGAAAAACAAGAAGATAAAAAAGTTAGTGACAAAAACAAGTTACTTTCAAAACGAATTGAAGGTGAAAATTCCGAAAAAGCCAGACGAAGAGGACGCAGATATAGATGATGAAAATACTAAACAATTAAACACAATTGAGATAAACAAGAAGCTTGAAAGAAGTGAAGATGAAGAAATGAAGGATGCAGAAGATAGGAAACTAACCTACCAAAGATTTTCCTCAAATCCAAATATTCCACTTAGATTTAGATTCCGATAAAAAGTCAAATACATTGATCGACTTAACCCTATTCCTGCTGGGGGGGGGGGTCAATTTGACCCACAGCATATCCTGGTTTTCAAGTACCCCAGCAGAGATAGGGTTAATGGTTATTGCTGGTTGATATATTTAATCACTTTAGCATTGGATCTGTAACTATATTGGTGTTTTTGTAAATATATCTTAGTACTGCATAAATATGCTAGTCCGATCATTCATTAATCCCATCGATGCAACACCTTCTAAAAACTAAGAACTACTCACAAACTATATTTAAACATACATTTCAAATTTCTAATGGCTTTGAATTTTGAAATACAGCCTTTGAAACCTTTCAAATAAAAGAATTTTTTAGAACTATTGATATGTACGTCCCACGAAACTTGACAGTAGCAAGACGTCTTTGATCTGAATTTTTTTGTTGGCATTTATTCGTAAACACAAAGACTTTGCTAATTATAAAGACAAGGCGTTGGAAATTTATCCGACTATTGTGTAATGTGGACGCCTATACAGCTGTATTTTAACGTCAATATGGATATTTAGGTTGTTTAAAGAGTCGAACGATCAAAATTAAAACCTTAGATGTGCTAAAAGTTAACTAAAATTAATAATATTAATTTCTAAAATTAATAATATTAATTTGTATTTTAAAATTTATTTGATCATTTGTTGGATATGAGGATCGTCTGGTCAATTATAGCTGAATTTGTAATGTTACGCATCTCTTTTGTATAAAAAATAGCCTATAATTGTTAGTAAACATTTTCAGATGTTGTCAAATATTTTTTCTGGGGTTCTATGGAATGGGATTTTAGGCGATGAAGAAGAGAGGGGGCCAGAAATTTCCAATATTATAAACAGTTAGTAAATTTTGTGTAAATGTCGTCTTCTATGTAATATCCCATAAATTAATGTATTAATCTTACTCTTCGATTGATGTATGGGGATTTTGTTTCGAAAATATCCACCATTAAAGTAAAAAATATCTGAGAAAGTTTCGTTAAAATTGCTAATTAATGGACGACCTTTTACTTAGAAGTCTTTTAAAGTTGATTACAAAAGGTTTGAGGCATGAATTATCGGAGGATTTTAAAAAGGTGGACTAAATAAATATATTGGTGAAAATGAAACTGGGGAATGTAAAGACGACTTTTAGACTTAATTTTTGATTAAATAGTTCAATGAACAAATAATACTGAAATTGAGCAGTGAACATGCAGATTGTCTAAATTTCGTCTTCAAATTCTGAAGTTTTATGTATAATTCAATGAATAATTCAGGTTCGTCGGTGCCACTGCCAAGCAAAGTAACGTGTGTATGTACCCAACTGCCAAGCCAACCAATAAAAGGATAGTCTGCGTTTACAATACCAGCAAAAATAAAAAAGTTTGGATAAAGGCTCTTTAATTGGATCATATGAATTCTTAACGCTGAAAGATCCTAGAGTGTGTAAAATTATAACATTGTGAAATAAATATTATGACGTTACGACGTTATTTTTCATTAATTCATTTAAATCAGGTAGAGATAGAATTCAATCTTGAAACATAGGTTTGTTAGGCGACTTTGTAGCTCGTTTACAATCGATATCTACGAATTAAAGCTCTACTAGAAGCAGAGCCACACTTTAAAATGATATGCTTTAAAAACAACAGCTGTACACATTAGAAATTTAAGTAAAAAAACTGACTAATTTTTTTTTAATTCATTAACGATCGATATTTTTCATTTTTAACTAAATGCTTAAAGACAAAGCGACATTGCCCATCCCTAACTGCGGACAGTGCAGCTTTAGGGAAGAAGTTCAACGTTACTAACCAAACCTATTTAATCTATAACTTCTCGCCTTATTCATTAAACATTTCTATACATAAAACTGTAGGAAAGGATTTATTGAATATGCAATATCCGTTTTCTGCTTTAAAAATGTAGATTTTCTGCCATTTTCCTTTCAATTGGGAATGCGTCCCTTATTTTATTTTCACCATTGAGGATAAAAGAAATAATGATTAAAAAATGATTTTTTATTGACGATATTTAAACAAACATGAACCAAAGTTGTTGTTTTAAACAATACTTATTTGATTTTAATGTGGTCGTATTTTTTTTAAAAAGTTCAAACCATGTCCTAAAACGTTAAAGACCTATGTACTACTGAGAATTGAGTTGTATGGTAGATTTTTGAGCCAAATACTATTCGGCCAACAAACAAAAATATTTTCGCCGTTTTTTGTTTGCTAATTGTAAATGTTTAGTTTCTTCAGTACTGTGGGAATAGATTTCAAGGAAAAACAAATATCTTGGAGGAGAAGGTAAATTATCTAGATAATAACATAAACAATATTTAAACTTCTGAAAAAAGATTATTAATAATTAAATTTCTAAAGTTTGGAAATGTTGTAGAAAGTCCTTTAAAAGTGACCCATTATGTAAGGATGACAATGCCAGATTTACGATGATACCCTTTAAAGCTTTGTCTGATTAAGTATGAATTATATGTCCATAGGCCGAATTTAAAGAATTTGAGCGGTGGCTTAAATTTGAGACACGGCTCAAATAAGGTTGGTTCCACTTAAAATTAAATTCAATGTTTCAAGATGGAAGCCGCCGCGGCGCTCTATTGAAACCTGTTTTGGGCGGTTTTAAGACATGGCTTAAATTCAGACTCATGTTTATTATTTTTGAACTGATTTTCTTTAAATTTTCAAATTTGAATTATAGACCAAAACGTGGCAACTTTTTAAGCAATGCACATTATTTATTTAATTGTTGTCAAATTTGAATCATTCAATTCTATTTAGGATCTATATTTAAACGTTGGTTAAGTTACAAAATAATGATGTAAATTTCAGGGGGGAAAATATTGAAAAATTGAAAAAATTCTTTATTTTTTTTCTTTATCAGAGAAAGCTTTGAAATCTCAAAAGAACCTGTCAAATCTTTCCCTGGAATGTTTAGAAAGATGAATATTTTCCCTGTATGATAATTGAAGGACTGCAGTATGGTTTTGGTGAATTATATTGGCGTACTAAGCCTAGTGGTGTCAGAAATGATTTTTTTGCATTTTTTTAAAAACTTCTATAAAACTTTTAAACTTTGATTTTTGATAAAACTTTTTGTTCTGGATGATTGCAAATATCTATCTAAAACTTTCTTAAACCGGCATATTTTTTCTATATTCATTTAGTTAAGAGTTTGATTCAAAATAAGTATTAATAAATATTGCTTTATATCGAGTAGATATCCTTAAACATACCGATGTAAAACCTTTCAGAAAGTAGGAAAGATTCTGCAGAAAAAAGTTGCCGAACCAAACAAAATTTTTATTTTGAACACAAATATTTAGAACTTAAAGAAGCTTTTCTGGGTTGCACTTTACTCTAGTTTTGCATTATTTTCATTTGTGTAAAACAGTATAAAAGACATTATGTTGATGGTTTAAAACTAAACAGCTGATGATTCATTGGAGGGAGGAATGGCAAAAACACCAATTTGTAATTCGAAAATCTTTTTACGGAAAGTGATTGTAACAGGGAATACAGAGTGCTTTAGGGTACAGGGTACTACAATGTAATTGAAAGTACTGGGCATTACTGGGGGGAGGGGGTACAGAAACCAAACAGAATTTTTTTAATTTCATAAAAATATATAAGTAGAGTCAAAAGCACTTCTAAGGATGTTTTCTTTATAGTTTTGCACTATTTTCACGGACAAAAAAGCTAGATTCATACTAATCAGCTGACCACTTTTTTAGGTTTATTGGACGTTTTCAAAAAAATGCAAAAAAAATCATTTCTGACACCCCTAGGCTTAGTACGCCAATATAATTCACCAAAACCATGCTGCAGTCCTTCAATTATCATACAGGGAAATTTTCATCTTTCTAAACATCCCAACGAAAGATTTGACAGGTTCTTGGTTTATAAACGAAGGAACTGATTACTTACCACAAATTCTATTAATCTAATCTCTTTGCAACCTTCAAACTTTATTAATCTTATTTTGAAATATCAAAGGTTGCAATGATGTAAGGCTTTTTTTGTGGCGAATATTTAGTTCGTTTCCGCCTTTTTCGCCTTAACAAATCTCGAACCTAACGCCACTGCAAACAATTTTCCACCCCTCCTTAAGAAAATATCCCAGTTACGCCTCTGATGAAGTAAGGTAACTGACGACCTTGATATAAGGCTCTCCAGGTTTAAATCATTTATCCCCAAATTTAATATCAGGTTTTATTAATGCATGGCTCATGATGTACTTTATAAGACAATTTTTTGGCCGTTAGGTGTCTCATCCAAGTAAAAGTTCTGAAATATCGTCGTGAGCTAGAGACATCTAGATGCCAAATAATCGAATTCAGTTTCCTTTTTTGTGTTGTTAGTTTCGAGGATAATAGTGGCAGAAGTCAACGAATCCTTCTTCAACTATGGGACACAGCAGGTAACAGGTGAATTGTAAATAATCAAGAGATAAATATACCATTTGCATGCTCTTTAAGACTGTTGAGATAATTATACAAGAGACCTCGAACTTATGCATGATGAGTGGTACATGATGGGGATTAAAAATGATTCCCTTGAAGCTTTGCCTGATCAAGAATGCTTTGTTCACTTTTTTTACATTGAAGTTTTCTTTTAAAAATGACGTTTGAGTTTTTCGTACAATAACTAGCTCTAGCTTGGAAAAAGACAATATCTTTATTATCATTGATGAGTGAAATGTTTCACGGGTATCGATGTGAATTGAACATATCCCTCTTAGCATCGCTGGTCACTTAAAACAGAGCGTTTAAATTTTTTTGTTTTAGGTCAAGAAAGGTTTCGCAGCCTCACTACAGCTTTCTACAGAGATGCTATGGGGTTTCTTTTAGGAATACAAACAACTTTCCATCAAAATAAATACAGCATAAAAGATGTTTTAAATTGAAATTTTTTTCTTAAGATAAGAAAACGTTTGTTAAGTGCAGTTTTTGATGTAACAACAGAGCAATCTTTATTGTCAATCAGGTGAAACAGATTGAAATGTAAATTATCAATTTGTTTTCCGGTGTCGATCAGGGAGAGCCGGCCTATGTGTTTTTATCATTTCAGCATAACTTCAGAGATGAAACCCAATTCTAAAGAATTTGTAATTGTTGGTTTACATAAAAAAGCACAATGAATGTATTATTGCAAGAAATGTTTTTCCTCGCAAATGTCGCCTTCCTCTCAAATTTTCAAACAACCATTATTTCTTCTTCTTCGGCAAATGTCAAAACATTGATCCAAATGTCTAAAACTGTGTAGAAATGGGGTAAACACTAGCTGGGTATGCTCTCCAAGCAGAGGCGGAGTTATTCTCATGTT